GTAATATCCTTTAATTTTCTTTTCTTTTTGTGTCGTAATGCTATTTGGGTTTGATAAGTAGACTGTATGAAATATGACCCGTATTTCTACAGTATTTAGTTTCGATGTCGTAATTTTACTCCTTTGTTTTAATGCCCTTGTTATAACAACTATACAGATCTCAAGTAAGATAGTCTATGTTAAATTATTCAACAATAGAAAATAATACGTCCACCTAGCACCTTGCTTTTTTAACTGTTACACCTGAATTCTATTCAACTGTCAATTTTCATCATAGAGACAAACGCATGTGTGCGGTAAATGCTTCCACGTGTTTGTCATGGGCTAAACTCTACAAAAAAGAGAAGGTTTAGTAGGAGAATGTTCACAACTGAAGTCATAAAGTACGGAATTCCATAAACGACAGCCTACTGTTTACTGTCAATTGCCTACTGCCAACTGCTTAATAGTTACTGTCAACTGTTTAATGCTTACAGGCGACTGCTAAATGCTTACTGTTAACTGTTAACTGCTAACTGCTTACTATCAAATGCTTAATTTAATGCCAAATATCTGATTAAATGCGTAAATGTAGACGTCAGCTTTTTATACACGTATCCTTCTTCCTATATATGTTACAATGGGGGACTTTTTGAAACAGCATTGGTCAAGGAATTACTCTGTTTCATAGATGAAAGTTTTGACTGATAAAACCTTGGAACTCGTTACATTTATACATGTTTAATTCTCGTGTTACTAAGCAGAAAGATAGTTATACATCTGTGCAGGCATCAGAAACGTTTCAAATTTGATTGTAAACTTTAAAAATGCTATTCAGTATTGTTTCCATCATTAAATAATGTTTTCTTATTTTTATGACTGACACAATCAGCAGCAGATCAGTGTGATTTATGAGGAGAGAAAGCACAAAACATTCAAAGATTAGTGCCTTCTTTAAGTTAAGGTTAAAGTGTATTAACTAATAAACATTAACTTAAACATAAAATATTCTTACATTTTGTGAAAAAAATGAGTTGATACATTAAACAATAATAATCAAAATTTTACATTTATCAAACAATCTCATAATCAATCTGGACGTGCAACATTTCATTTACCTATATAAGTTTGAATTGACTGTTCTTTACTTTAAATAGATATGAAGAGATTCTATTGATCAAAAGCAAATAAAGTATTTGATAAAATACGTAATATTGTTGGTTACAAGTATGTTAATCTTTAAATTCCAAAATTATTGCTTTTGTATGAATACTATCCTTAATAAAAGTTGTGATTAAGTGTTACAAGCCATCTTGGTTACAAACCATCTTGGCTTAGGGAACTTAATATGTCAATAAATAGAAATTTAATGACAAAGTTTTTTCCCCCAATATGCATAGTAAACCTAAATTACATAAATACGAAAGTATACAACATTGTACAATACACTATTTATATACTTATTATCATGGTTGTAGAAACCGAAAATACAAAATGTCTACCACTAATTCGAATTTGTTTATAACTTTAATATTGATTTTGATTGCCAGACATATCTTCAATCATAAAGGTGATCCCTAAGCATTAATTAACAAAATTACTTGTAAAATTGCAGACTCGGTTTGATTGAGTCTGTACATAAGGGATAATGAACAAGAGCACCGCTAGGCGGAGCATTATATGCCCGAAAGTGTTATTTTAATTAAGGATGAAGCATTTGTAAGACATCGGAATTAAATAATCCTCCTTTGAAGTTTGAATATTTTGGGCCAATGGAACTTAAGTTATGCTCCGGAAACTGTTTTCAGTTTTAAGGTAATAGCGACCTTGACCTTTGACCTTGTGACCCCAAAATCAATAGGGGTGTTCTATCCAATATGGACAATCATCCTATGAAGTTTGAACACTGTGGGCCAAATGGAACATAAGTTATGCTCCGGAAACTGTTTTTAGTTTAAAAGTAATAGTGACCTTAAACTTTGATATTGTGCATCCAAAATCAATAGGGGTGTTCTACCCAATATGGACAAAAATCCTATGAAGTTTGAACAATGTGTGCCAAATGGAACTTTCTAAAGTTATGCTCCGGTAACTGTTTTCAGTTTTAAAGTAATAGTGACCTTTGACCTTGTGAACCAAAATCAATAGTGGTGTTCTACCCAATAAGGACAATCATCCTATGAAGTATGAACACTGTGGGACAAATGAAACTTAAGTTATGCTCCAGAATTTTTTTTAAGTTAATAGTGACTTTGACCTTTGACCGTGTGACCCCAAAATCAATAGGGGTCTTCTACCCAATATGGACAATCATCCTATGAAGTTTGATTACTGTCGGCCAAATGGAACTTTAGTTATGCTCCGGAAACTGTTTTCAGTTTTAAGTTAATACTGACCTTGACCTTTAACCTTGTGACCCAAAAATCAATAGGGTTGTTCTTTCCAATATGGACAATCATCCTATGAAGTTTGAATATTGTGAGCCAAATGAAACTTAAGTTATGCTCCGGAAACCAAATTGCTAACGGACGGAGTTTTAAGTTAATAGTTACCTTGACCTTTGACCTTGTGACCCCAAAATCAATAGGGGTCTTCTACCCAATATGGACAATCATCCTATGAAGTTTGAATATTGTGGGCCAAATGGAACTTAAGTTATGCTCTGGAAACCAAATTGCTAACTGACGGACGGACGGACGCCAGAGGTATAACATAATGTGCCCGAAATTCTTTCGGGCATATAAAAAGTGCAACATCCCTCATGCCCCCTAGCACTGACTTAGGCGGTACTCAATTTTCAACACTCAATAGTGCTGGCATCAATGATCCAAGGACCAGAAAAATATATCAACACTGAAGTAAAGTACAGGGCAACTTTTTACGGCTGCCACACGGCACTTGACACTGTGATGTATACCTACCTACAAAATGTATCAGGTCAATTCAATATATAAAATTTATTAAGTACAAATATTCATCGCCAATATAACATACATACATGTATGTTTCACAAGATAAACTAAATCTTGACAAATTTCTAGATATTGTCAATATGAATAAACATGCAATGCTCGAATCGCATATTATTATTATTCCTTCACTTTTGTTCAGACCTAATTTAAAACAAGCAATTATCATAGTATTGCAAGCAATTCATAAGTCCCCTACAGGTTAGAACATTCTGAAGGGCCATTGGCCATTCACTAATGTTTCAATTTTTCTCAATTTTAAGTAAATTTGTTGGAAAAGTTCTTTAAAAGTGATCACAGGAAACAGTTTTTATGAACAGACAGACAGACGGACTGAAGGACACTGTAAAGTTAATATTTGAAACATCCCTGTTACCAAAATATAACATCTTTAAAAGCAAAGTTCTTAAGGAGGAGATAACTCTTGAAATAAAGATGCAATTTCATAAAAATTTTCAGCCCTTTTTGACTAATCACAAATATTGTTATATTTGCCATGTTTTAAGCCTATTTGTTGCCAAGGCAACCAATATTTTTTTCAAAATAGGAAGAAAAGATAAAACATGCATAATCCCTAGACTGCCATCTACCTGTATGTCAAGTTTCATAAAAATATTTCCAGTACTTTTTGAGTTATCACTGGATTCAGTTTATGTGTAAAATTTGCCATATTTTCAGTTTATGTGTTGCCATAGCAACCAGAATTTTCAAAATAGGAAGAAAAGATAAGACATGCATAATCTCTAGACTGCCATCTACCTATATGTCAAGTTTCATAAAAATATTTCCAGTACTTTTGAGTTATCACTGGATTCAGTTTATGTGTAAAATTTGCCATATTTTCAGTCTATGTGTTGCCAATTAGCAACCAGAATTTTCAACAAAGGAAGAAAAGAAAAAGACGTGCATAATCTCCAGACTGCCATCTACCCATATTACAAGTTTCATGAAAATATTTCTATTACTTTTTGCCTTAACACTCCAGTTTATGTGTAAAATTTGCCATATTTTCAGTCTATTTGTTGCCAAAGCAACCAGAATTTTCAACAAAAGAAAAGAAAAGAAAAAGACGTGCATAATCTCCATACTGCCATCTACCCATATTTCAAGTTTCATAAAAATATTTCCAGTACTTTTTGCATTATCACTGGATCCAGTTTATGTGTAAAATTTGCCATATTTTTAGCCTATTTGTTGCCATAGCAACCAGAATTTTCAACATTGGTAGAAAAGAAAAAGACGTGCATAATCTCCATACTGCCATCTATCCATATATCAAGTTTCATAAAAATATTTTCAGTAATTTTCAAGTTATTGCGGGATCCAGTTTTGTGAACTGACAGACAGACGGACGGTAAACCTAAGGTCCCCTCCGGTAAACCGGTAGGGGACTAATAAGTGAGGATATATAAGCTTGCTGGTCATAACTTCCAAGATCCCATTTAAAGTGTTTTTAAACCCATACCTGTACATCAAATTTGAACCGTTTTACATGCACATAACTATTTGCAGAGGGCTACCAAATAACCACATCTCTGAAGCTTTGCTAAAACAATCATGAGGTTAGATGATGTTATTTCAATTATGAAAGTTATCAGACCATCATAAAAGCTGAAAATTCTCAGATGAACTAATATAGTAAATGAGCCGGGTCACAACAAAACCAACATAATGGGTTTGCGCCAGCATGGATCCAGACCAGCCTGCGCATCCGCGCAGTCTGATCAGGATCCATGCTGTTCCCTTATCAACCCTTTTACAAGTAGAGGAACTGATAGCGAACAGCATGGATCCTGATCAGACTGCGCGGATGCGCAGGCTGGTCTGGATCCATGCTGGCGCAAACCCATTATGTTGGTTTTGTCGTGACACGGCTCAAATGTATTTGATACATAACACATAAACCAAGAAACAATAGAACATGAATAAAGATATACAATGGACATAGGACAAACCAAACTTTCTTATGTTCTTGTTCTGACTTGTTGATACAAGCAAGTTAAAATACTGGTGGAAGTACAAAATTACAAATCTTTTTTTTTTTCAAATCTTTATTTTCAGTTTAATTCTTTTTTTATCATAGATAAGCAATTGAATATATGGTATTATATAATACTATTTTCAACCATAGACAAAATTTACAAGAGAAATAATATTGTGTATAACAATGAACCACTACAGTCAAACATGAATGCAAAATTGCTTTCAGGTGCCTGTAAAAAGGATTGTCTATTTAAAACAAAAAATATATTAACCAAATATAAAAACAAGAACATTATATGCTGAAGTATGTGCTGTTCAAATGTCTCAACAGAGGAACATAATACTTTTGTGTCATCTACTGGCCATAACCATCTTAACTACTATGTGGGAAGACAGCACACGTAATACTATCTGCTATATAATTACATGTATATACTAAGTGGAGCGGTGGCCTAGTGGTGAAGGTGTCTGCCTCTCAACCCAGGGATCAAGGGCTCGAGTTTCCTTTTATGACATTAGTACTGGTTGGTTCCAGGAAGCAGACTCGAAAGTGATTAATATTAGTTGCAAGAACTTGTTTCATAATTGAGCTTAATTAAATATATTTAAACCAAACATAATACTATAAATAGATGTGAAGTTACTGAACTGACATAGATGTGGCTTACAGAGAGATGAAAAGACAGATGGGTGACATACAAGCAACATATCATAATAGAACATATATAACCCTGGCCATATAAAAATTAATATTTCTCTGTTTAGAAAGCTATTCCTGTCAAAATGTTTTAAATTTGTGCAGTACTTATAGAAAAACAAAAATGAATTTGCAAAAATAAATCAAACACATTAACGTTTATATCAAATGCCACTAATATCATGATATTTTTTGCATTTGTAGAACAGTACATGTACAGTGTATATAATCATGTATGGCCTAAATAGCCAGTTATCTTATTCTTAGTTCTTTAACAAAATAACTCAAAATTAACAAAAACGTTTCATCAAAATATATTTTTACCCACATACAACATTGTCAATTGAATGATTTTATTTCAACAAACAAAAAATTTAAGCAATGAAAAAAAAATCTTGTAAGATAAAACAATGATATAACCAGCTTCTGAACGATTATAAAATCCCCTAAATACCTTATGATTAAAAAGTGACAGGAAATTGTTATAAACTAGAACTGTGTCCAAAGGACACGGATGCCCCCACTGTGCAGATGTGCTCGTAAACAAGAGCATGCATATCTGTATGTAAGATTTTTATATGGAACTTTTTATTAAAATCTGCCATCCGGTTTAAGAGTTGGGTTCACAAAATTTCTATATGGTATATAGTGAAAAAATCAACAAAGGGCCATAATTCTAGTAAATTTGGTCGCAGCAAAAATTCCTTCCTTAACTACTATCTACACATTAAGGTTGTTCATCCCTGGAAGTTTAAGCAAAATCTGCCAACCAGTTTAAGAGGAGTTGCGTTCACAAAATTTCTACATAGTATATAGTGAAAAAATCAACAAAGGGCCATAATTCTGTTAAATTTAGTCGCAGCAAAAATTCCTTCCTTTACTACCATCTACACATTAAGGTTGTTCATCCCTGAAAGTTTAAGCAAAATCTGCCATCCGGTTTAAGAGGAGTTGCGTTCACAAGATTTCGGGACGTACAGACGGATGGACAGACTGACTGACAGACGGATGGACAAGTGCAACGCTATATGCTCCCACTTTGTGGGGGCATAAAAAGGTTAATTTCAAATATAATATATTAGAAAAGGTATTTTAGAAATGAAGCAGGCCAGCTATCAAAACACTTGGCATTGAAGTTTTCAACAAGATTCAAATATGAAAATACATAAACAATAAAATATTACATTCAATATAGAATCTGTCAGTTCATGATGATGGTGCAATTAAATATACTTTTGATCAATGGATAAACATGTGGGTGTGTAGATGGGTGTAAAGAGAGTGTCGAAGGATGTTGGGCGATAAAAATGGTAAAGGCACAAGTTCAAATACTGTCAAGCTTAAAAATATTGATAGATAGAAATATGGATAGACATTAACAATGAATGAATTAAATCATTCTTTATTCCACAACACTTTTAAAGCTCCCCCCACTAAGTGCATACTTCCTGTTACAAGCACTTGTACCTGCGGATCCCCTTTGGATGCCCCAACATTATTAATATCCAAATTTCCATCAATATAACCATTATTCCCTGAGGAACTGTCTTTTTCACATATATAACCCTCCCCACAACCTTGCTCTACAGTTTGTCCATTCAATTTAGCTTCGACACATTTTTCTGACAAATGTCTATTTTCTTTGTTCACTGCTGACCTTTGACACACCCAATGTACACAATGTGATATGGTAGGTAAAGCATGTGATTCCACTTCTCTCGTATCACAATGTAGTCCATTCTCTACAGTCTCGTTCCCAGCATTCACAGCTCCATTTGGAATATGACTGTCACCATTGCATATATTATTATTTTTAGATATGTGGCCAAGCTCATGTATCTGTTTATCCCATGTTTCTTTGTTGAGAATACAACGTTTCAACTGACTCTCCTTTGTAACTGTATTATTTGTTTGATCTAAAACAAAAAAGGTTGAAAGATTACTTTTTTTATTTAGAAAGATAAATGAATAGGAAAAACAAAACAAAACAAGACGAGCACAACAAAGGCGGGACATATATGCCTAAATGTAAATTTGAGTAATAAAAAATAACTTTTCCTCAGGAGCGTGGCCAATATTGACCCAAGGGACATGATTAATACCCTTTTTGTACAGGCCAACAAGGCAATGCTATGTCAAATTTCTATGCTCTAGGCATTATAGTTTCACCATTATAAGACCTATACAAAAGTATATTAACTAAGTTATCCCCCGGGCCAGACAATAATTGAATCCAGGGGTATGATTCATATCAGTTTTGTGAAGGTCAATAAGGCAATTCTACATGCTAAATATCTATGTTCTAGACATTGTAGTTTCACAAAATGAAATTTAAATGTGTTTTCCTATGTAAGTTCATACAAATCAAGTAATCGCCGGGGATGGGTTGATTTTGATCTTACAGTACGCTCAGCGCGACTTTTTCAAAACCCGCGTGACCCCGCGGATGAGGTTTACCGCGGACGAAAATTTGCTCAGATATTGTCCGCGTGACCCCGCGGACAGAAAATTTTCACAACCGCGGACATATATCGGCGGCTGAAACTGTTCCCCCGCGGAACGCAGTGGTAAATTGCGGAGGAACGCGGCGGTCAAACACCGGTCAACGCGGTGGAAACCTTAAATTTTAAAAATTAATTACTGTATTTCAACATCAGTATACGTACGTACATGTACTGTAACATGTACTGTACATATACATGTAACTATATGTAAAATTTGTTTTCTTTCTTTTTTGTTGTAATAAAAGTACATGTACAAATGCAGTGTTTTTCTTGTTCTTCTTCTTGTTATTGTGTTGGGTAATGTATAATATGTATTCGACATCAAGATAAATCATTGTCGTCGCAACTTCATGGTTCTGAGAAACTTGAAGTCAAATAATGAAAAATTCGGCGTATGACATTTATGAAAAAGATACTACAACAATTTATATGCCAGCTTTTGTTTCTTATTTAAAAACTTTGAAAACGTAACCCTCAACAATTATATTCAGGCAATATTCCAGGACGTCTCTTTCAATTGTCAGATGCGTTTTACTGTTTCTGTTTATTTGCATGTTGATCATAAAAAATATGACAATATACAATATCCGACAATATCTGACATGATGGCAAAGAGAATCTTTTTGAATTTGAGTCAAATATATATACGGTATGTACAGTATACATAAACTTTTTGGCAAGTGTCATGCATATTTCTCATGTCCATTTTCGACGGGATTTTTACTGTAAAGAAAAAACACAAAAAATAAGTCTACTCGTTTTTAAAGAATATAATTGCATACAAATAATTCTTATAGATGGTTTAAATATCTTTTTCTTTTATTTCTAATATATGTACATGTATTTTATTTATGTCCTGTCTTGTATTCACACTCATCGACCTCTTACAGGACATGTACTGTAGCGTCAGTCATCATTGAGAAATCAGCACAAATGTCCTTTTTTATCATATTTATGGCTCCCATATAGTTTAACGGCAATAATACTTATAGAACCACAAGGAATGAACAAGTAAAGATGACAGTGATAAATGACGATTTCAGTTGAATGTAAAAATATTGGTATGTGGACAAATAGTTTTGTGAACGTTTATAACGAAAGTATTAAAAACAACAACAAAAACAGGTACAGCTGTAATTATTTTTATTTCAAATTCCGTTCAAATAATTTAACGTATAATAACATTTAAGGAGACGATTGTGGTCAATTTTCAAGTCATTGTGTAAAAAAGATGACGTTAAAAAATGATAAAACGTCTATTATTTTTGGAGGTTAATTTATACTGACCAACTGACCATGGCGTTCCTCCGCGGGAAACAGGTGACTGATTTTATCGATAAATGAAGAACGGTCGTCAGAATTTTGTCCGCGGTGGAAACAACTGAACACCGGGGATCGCGGGGAAATTAGGCTTCTCATCGCGGACGAACCCCCGCGTTTGTCCGCGAAAAAAAAAAAATCGTCCGCGGTGGTATCGCGGAAAAAGCAAAACCCGCGGTGAGCGTACTGTAGGAAGCCCAAACCTGTATTTCATGTTTTGCACAGCGTCTCATTATAAGTAATATTTCTGCCAAAAAGTTTTCATTTCTTTCTGTTGGTTAAAAAGATACAGAACGGAAAAGAAAGATTGAAATTTATACAAAATGACTAAGTGTGACATTGACCTTGACCTGAGGAATGTCAAACCTGCGCTCTGCACATCGTCTTATTATCTTTAATATTTTCTTTTTTTACTTACTATTGAAATTATTGGGAATGCATTGACATTGTTCTATATCAAAAGCAGGTAAAATCTGTTACACAACTTCAGCAGGTTAAATGCTGCAAGTTATCTACATTGAAGTTGTAGTAGAACAAGCCTAGATCATACGGGCTCCAACCAAATAGCAAATAAACCTTTAAATGCTGAGATAATAATGATTTGCATATATAACATAATTATGGAGCCAGACTAGCATGAACATCTGTGAGTCTGACCAGACTCTATACAGTTGGTGGCTCTAACAACTAAATAATTATATTAAACTACATTGGGAATGTTCTGAATTCAAAGCAGGGGTGGTCCTTTAATATCAATTCAGGAGGTACAGGTAAAGAGAGGCCAAAGTTTTAATTAATTATGTATATCATATAAATTCAAGGGGAAGCATCATTGGAAATGTAAATCAAACTCTTACTATCTGTCTTTCCTAAAATCAGGACCAAATGTTGCCAATTAGTTCAACTGATTGATACATATATATACAAAAATGTATATATATGTATAGTGTAACTGGACCAAATGCTGTCAATAGGACATCACAGTTGACAAAGTTGGATAGCTTACTCATACCCACACTCAATTACCTTAACTACCATGGGTGCATTATCACTGCACATAATAAGTATATAAATATTTACAATATATACAACAAGCTTTCTACACAGGGATATTAAGTGCTTCAGACTACCTTTAGTTTTTTTTATTCACACACTAGCAGTACTTTGATTATTTCACTTCCTTAATTACCGTGAAAATTACAAGAATCTTGAGGTGTGCTGCTTTAATCATTTTTGTAATAAATGTTTGTATTTGTTTGAAGCAGAATATACCAGATTGCAGAATTTAAAATGTGTATTTTTTACTAGATAAAGCTTTGATATACATAAAGTTTTATTTCAACTACATTAATAAGATAAGCGTTTCAAAACCTTACTTTCATTTTCACCACTAGGTAATCACTATTAAATCTATTAAAAATTTGAAGTAGTATGTTATAATTGAGCCACGCCATGACAAAACCAACATAATGCGTTTGCAACCAGCATGGATTCAGACCAGCCTGTGCATCCGTGCATTCTGATCAGGATCCATATGATGTTCGCTTACAAACCCTATAACAAGTAGAGAAACAAAACAGCATGGATCCTGATTAGACTGCGTGGATGCACAGGCTGGTCTGGATCCATGCTGGTCGCAAACGCATTATGTTGGTTTTGTCATGGCGCGTCTCATATAATTTATATATACTCACCAGCACTGACAGCATTCTCGTGTGTTACATTAGGACAGAATAACACAGCATCAAAGTTACAGTATAGCAATGGACTGAGTAAACTTGTAGTCTCCCTGTCACCTGTTGTGTTGAATATCAAAACTCTGTACACTCCATGTCTGTAAAATATACAATATATCTTAAGTTTTGTCAAAATTCTTCTCTAAATGCAGTAACCATACATGCTGTGTTTTCCAGATTGCTTTCTTAGACACCTTCCATATGAGATAGAGGAAAGATAATTAATTTGCAAGAAAAATTTACTTAATGAAATACAATTTTGTAGTCCATGAACAGCTAATTCTTTAAGGTATAATCTTCCACGTTAAGCTTTATCTAATTATATTAACTTATTTCCAGACTTACTTTGAGCGGGCCTTCTCTAAATTAGCTTCTGTAGAGAACCAGTCAACGCATTGCTGAAAATACAACAACCTTTATTTATTTATACCTCATATAGTTCATTTACTACACAACGTCTTAAGACATCGGACGGTAACAATCCGTAACTTGATGTATAATTTAATTCACAATATCACTACATTATTACTGGGACAAAAAAACTTTTCATGTCCCAAAGTTGTGGTTATTATGATGAAGGATTTAAATAAGTCTGCTGTAGCTTATATCTACACTGTAAATATGTACACTGTAAGTCCACTTTACAATTTATTCAAAATTATTCATTTCCATTCTGATGCAGATTTCTTCCAAGTCACAATCAATTGTCTCCCTTACAGATTTGAAGCTGCTAACAGTTACCTCCCCTACTGACATTAATCATTAACAAGCTTAATTTATTAAATTGACTTGTTCAGCTTCAAGAATTTTCCATTATCTTTTTGTTCCAAAAAGGTAAAAATAAAATTACAAGCTCTGAAAATTCTTTTTGATGTCGTAAAATGAGACTTAATTTTTTTACCATTATATTTGCAGCTTGGATAACTAAACAAACATAATTATATCATCATAATCATCTAAATTTGATTGAAATGCACATACATATCCTATTTGCTTTTGATTTTATGTAATGTTAATTTGCAGTCAAAAGGTTGGAAGTGCAGTCTACAGTTTTTTAGTTTGTTCTAAGGAAAGTAGTGCTTTACTGACTCCTCAAAACTGTTCTTGTATGAATTACAAAGAATTATAAATTAGTAGTGTTTTTAACAAGTTATCAGTTTATGCCAATAACTTGAGAGTTATATTAAAGCTTATCAGTTTAATGGTGAGTGAGGTATACCTGAATACTTTCCACAGTATGGGCACCATCCAGGTAATAAGTTATCCCTGGTTCCCTAATTGTCTGGTTCCTACCTAACCATTGGCATTGTGCCAAACCTGTAACAGTTAATAAACAACTTAACAATTACTTAAAATACTGCAAAGATTTTTTTTCTAATAAAAGTATCAAAATAAATAAATAAGAAAGGCAAATGATAGACAGGTAATGCAGATTATTTCAAACATGACTAAAATGTCTTCAATGGTCATTTTGTACAATTATCAAGGCGCAAATGTTCACCAGAGAAGAACTGCAATGTAACTCAGTAAGCCAGATAAAATTTTAGGCTGATTTTCAGCATCTGCAATTATGAAACCAACAAGCAAACAGAGTAAAGGGTCAAAGGAATTAAAATTAGAAGACATGGACCTACAATTAATTTAGGCACATTATGCCTGACAAACTAATTTTCCTTCTTTAGAAATAATGTTTTAGGGCATGTAAGATTAATAGCCTTCTTAAAAAGAGTATTAGCATCAAGTTTTCCTGTGTATTAAAAAGTATGTATAAAAGTTAGAATAAGCTAATCAAATGTGACAAAAAACTAAGGAAGGCTGTTTTAAAGCTAATACATTACCAGCTAAATGCTGCGGTGTTAGTTGGAATGCCTCGGCTATTTTAATATCACAGTTTGACTTTGATGTTGAAGTTTGTTCTTGTGAATCTCCACAATCTGACACCTCCTCAGATGATGACTTTTCTGTAAATAAAACACATAATCTTAATAGTTAAGTTATATATATAGAGGATATTGAATTTATTGCAAGAGTTGAATAAAATTATACTATGCAAGCCTCTGGCGAGCATTTTATTCTATTCAACAAGTTCAATAAATTCAGTAATGAACTTACATAAATTTAATATTCTATTTATCACATACCTGTTTAAAGTGAAAAAAAAAGAGTCATTTTTAATTTAGCGCATCTTTGCACTATCTTTGTATAAAGCTTATGATGTCACGTCAAAATATATGCACGGGCTGCAATACCATTTTTACAGAGTCGCAAAATCGACTTTGGTGTGTGATGAAAAGGTAATGTTACATTGTGAATTTTCTGCTTTACTACTAGAAGAGATACTTAGTGTCCCCTCTAAACATGATTTTAAGCATGAGCAGGTGTCCGAGTAGAACCATTAACCTTCTTTTAGTTAGCCTGATAGTTTCTACCCACTGCTGGGTGGAGGCAAAGGTCAACAGTTTTTACTTTTTTTTTTAAAGCAAACATATAGAAGCTTTAAACAAATCTTTAAAAAGAAAATTAAAGAAATAGAATTCAGTTTATCCTTTCTTTTAAATTTTTAAAAGGTAGGTCTAGTCTAAAACAATGACCATTGTTTTCTTCTTTGAAAAAAGAAAAAGAAAAAGCTAAAAACTGAATGTCTTTGGTGAAATTTGTACCTTTGTCAGTGAAGGGGAAGTGATTTGAAGTCAATGATTTTTTATTTAACATCTGAGAATGACAGACTTGATAAAGAGACTGGATGGATGAAACCATAAAATACTGAGACTGTCCTGGCAAAACCAGTTTATATAGATATGAAAACATTTTCAACAACAACAACAGAAACAAGCATATTGGCACACAAACCTTTAATTTTCTGTATCCAAGTATTGCATAGTTGTAGACTAAGTGATGCATTGAGAACTTGTATAGATCCTTTTATACCCAGCTTAATATCTTCACCGTATGTTCTGATATCTGGGCATACTGATAATGGTGCCTGTAATACATATGTCAAATTTATAACATTATTATTTCTTAACCATATTTAACATATCTATAGCTATATGGTCAAATGACACAAAATTGTTCCAAAACTAAATAAGGTTTTACATTATTTGGCTCAAATCATCAATGCTTAAGTCAGTCCTAGGGCTGTGAACAGTTAAGCTTGTACTTTCCACTAATGTTCATGAACATGCTCAATCAAACCGAGCCTGCAACATTTTCAATTTTACCGTTTTGGGCTTATTTTAGGATTCTATTTCTCTATATTGTAAATACCAGCGATATTTTTATGGGCATATAATTGATTTCTAGCTACCTTGATTAAGAAAGACTTCACAAGTTCCTCTATATCTTTTCAGACACAAGTATAGAATCACTGACCTTCCATAATATTAAACATTTTTTTTCCAGAATAACATATATAGGATTCTTAAATTTGCTGTTAAAATATATAACCATTCTAAAACAAACAGAGAAAGACAGTGAGCAGGGCTTTCATGCATAAGTCAGTTTATGTCAAAATGTTATAAAATCACAGTTTCTAGGTAGTAATACCACAAGATTAGCAATACCGAAATAATTAACAAAACCAATAAGATTTTGTTTAACAACCATATGATGAAAAGTAAGATTATTTATGATTGTTTCAACATAAATGTAAAACTGATAAACATACCCCTATTTCTGCAGCTCTTTCTTTGATAACAGACATAGCTGATTCGCACTGTGGAACAGTAAATGATGGCACTCCTGGCTATTAACAAAACAACATATTTATTGTCATACAAAAAACGAATATGCACTATTATTTTTATTCAAGACATATCATCAATAATTTCATATAAATATGGAATAATTCTATAAAGCACTTAATTTGCATGTGCACTAATAATATCTAAAGTCAAATTAGAATAATATCACAGGGTAAGGGATATATAATATGCAGGTAAACAGCTGAAAATATAATGATAATTTCAACAAATTAAATAAACTTAAGATTTTGAACTTGACAATAAAACATTTGAATATTTTTTATTTAATTATATTTACAACTTACCTTGAAAATACCTGCTTTATGCCAGGCAATTTTATCAATGCTAGTTCCAAGAATAGATGTGTGATCCAGTCCAAGGGAGGAAACTCCACACACAACAGGATTCCTAGAAAGGAGAGGATGCATAATTAATGCAAGTTTTTATTAAACCCTAACCCTACTGGATTTGTGGAATGGATTTTCCCAGCTTTGAAATCGGAACAGTCCATTCAAATTTTGAAGGATTTCAATTTAGTAATGAGGTTGACAGCTTTCTATTTTTGTTTTTCACTGTATGAGTAGAACCACTGACTCTCTTTAGGCTAGCTGGATTATTGCTCTACATAAACAAGAGAATGTGAACCTTCAGACTGTAAGTGTGACTTTGACCTTTGCGGTAGCAACATGGGTTGTAAACGCAACACGTGGTAGACATTTATTATTTTTAAATCTTTCAATGCATGACAAAGTTACAGTCTGGACACGAATGTTATGTAAAGGGGGGAGATGCACAGTTGGACAATGTGATTTTAATATGCCGCCCTTCTGTGTTTTCTGATACAAGTAACAATCACAGTGATGAATGTGACTTGTTTAAAGTCAACAACCTAAACTGCTCAAGGTTAGAACATAAAGTTGGCCAATATGTACATGTATCATTTGTGAGTGCTGCCAATTAAACCTTGACTTACCTGACCATATTCGTGCAGTCATATTGTCCCCCTATACCAACTTCCAGGATGGCCACATCAACTTGTTCCTTTAGAAACACATGTAATGCCATGACTGTCAGAAAACCAAAGTAGTTTGGCATCAGACCATCATGCTCCCCCTGAAATTTACAATACATCTTTTAAGAAATTTACAATAAACTAATTAAGACATAACAGATAATAATTTAATTGAAATATGCAAAGACTTTTATTATCATTCCAACTAAATTTAAACAAAATAAAAGCAGCATATATCTATCTTATTTATAGATTCTTGTATAAAATCAAGATTTTTTTATACCTTTGTTTTGTCCAGCTTGTTGTAAACCTCCCAAAAATATGCAGCAAATTTATCTTTCTCTAGTGGGGCACCATTCAGGGAAAATCTTTCTCTCACTTCTATCAAATGTGGTGAACTGAAAAAATAAAAAACAAAATCTACAACAATATTCCTAATATTTCATAATGGTCTGCTATGTTTAAATTGAACTTAAACATCTTTGATCGAGTTAAAAAAAGTATTTTCACAATAAATTTGTCAATTCACAATTGAAACTCAAAGCAAACTAATTTAGTAAATTGCATTCAAAATATTGCCATTACATGTCATTCAGTGGTGAACATATAATTTGATAATATATTTGTCAATGAACATGACTGATGGAAAATTTGTTATCTTCAGTGTCCAATATAAACTTAAAGTATTGTAAATTTTTGATTTTGATGGGGTTTTTACGTCACATCGACACAGTATAGGTCATATGGCGACTTTCCAGCTTTACTGATGGAGGAAGACCTCAGGTGCCCCTCCGTGCATTATTTCAGGCAAGAACGGGCACCTGAGTAGAACCACCGATGTTCCGAAAGTATCGTAAGTACTGTTTACCTAAAAAATCCTGTTTTGTATCCGTGGTGACGTAACAAGCTCTCACAGAATGCGCATGTGGATCCTTTACCTTTTGTTCCACTGACATGTATAACATTAAGCTTGTCCACATCTTTCTCCTGAAATATATTTTATACTGGTTGTCAAAAAGTTGTCTTATGTATATAGGGTTGACTGTTCAGGCCATGATATTTCTCTAAAATCATTATATTTATATAGGGTTAACGCACGTTTTTCCGTGTTATAACGTCTGCAGAGTCCCGAGGAACGGTTGGTGCCCGAGCCCGGTAGGGCGAGGGCTCCAACAGTTCCGAGGGACTCTGCAGACTTTATAACACGAAATAAACGTGCGTTGACGCTATTATAGCATAAAATTTTCAAACAGATTCGTGATGTATAGTTTATACAAAACACAATTACATTAAAGTCTTGTGCTTGGACGGTATTTATCCAATTCTATGTTTTACGTATGCGTTTCATTTTTCCGGGGCCAACAACTTGGAAAATTCTCGGAACCGAACGAAATTTTGAATTTTAATTGATTTAACAAAGCTTGGCCTTTGGAGATTTATTATCTCAAGAAAAAAAAACGTTACATTACTCTACTCTCTACCCAAGACAAAACATGACCTCAGAAATTCTTAGAATGATTTCAGTTTGACGGTAGAAAAAAGATCAGTGACATCAGAATCGGTTTTTTTTTCAAGCAAACAAGTTTATAAAAAAATCAGGCACTAAGCATTATTCTCTCAAAGAAATATAAAGAGCATTTATCAACATTAACATAAATAAAAAACATTTTCTCATATTAATTTTGTGTTATCTAGTTTTGTAAGTTAATCGGAGTGTTAAACTGAATGACAGGTAGATTCTACTGTATTTGTTTACATTGACAACTGTCCGTTTCTTAGAAAGGGCGACAACCAAGATTAGCACCGATGTCTATACGCCGTTTTTCCGGCATAGTTACTTGAATATGCGACTGAGGCCCTCGAATCAATAAATTTCAATATAACAAGAGCGCATGACTCTTCGGCAAACAGGCCAAATCGTCATTTTTTTTTTGTTTGTTTACTGGGCCCTGTATGTATTACGCATAGGTGAAACCGGGCTATAACAAGAGCGCGTGACTATGTTAACACATGGTTTTGGTCCCGTTATAACATGGGCAAAAGAGGGAAAAATAGCCGATTTTATGCTATAATAGGTATTCAACTATTATTTTAAAACTGCAACTTCTTAGTCACAAAATTATAGTTCTTTCAGATGTGAATTTATAGTTTTGTCAGATGTGAAACATTTATGTCAAGGTTGAGTCTTGTTGACAAATCATGATTGTTTGCCTGTACAAAATTAGTATGTATAAAATTTAGGTTCAATTCATTATAAAGGTACAACATGTAAATGTATACAAATTTTAGATGAAACTACAATATAAACATAAATTTGACAATTCTAGTTAGTCATAGAAGTTCAATCATGTAAATATTTCATTCTTAAACACTTGTTAAAGTAAATAGCAAACATGTCAATGTTTGATTAAAATGTCTGTTTCCAGAACACAAAATTAATTCACACTTTGGAATTAAAACAGATGCACATTGATATACCAAAAGTTTCTGATACTAGGAGAACACAAGCATGGACCAGTGTGATTTAAAAGGTATATCTCTTCTCCTTCAATATCATACTTCATCTGCTTCATATCAGGGTGTGCCACAAACACTCCCTCTTGATTTAATTCCAAAATGTCTGTTTACATTAAAGGTATTAATTTTATTTGTTGATTTCAGACATGCACAATGAGCCTGTACCTGTACAATGCTTTCTACACCATATATGAAACTGACCAATAAAAACACAATGAACCTTCTGTTCCTTAATCTTGAAAGACTTTGGCAATGAATAGTAATCCAACAGACCTGAATACCTATCCGTTCCGCATATTTCCACATTCTCGGCACATTGAGATGGGCTCTTTTGTCCCTTTCTTGTCGTATTTTCTCAAGAGTCTGTGCATTTGTCTGGAGAGTGTTCAAAGTTTTCACAGCTTCCTAAATAAAGAAATTAAACATATCTACATGTATAACTGAAGATACCAGTTTGTTTTCAGTGAATACTGACTATACCTCACTAACGTTTAGCCAGAATCTTTGATATTTAAAAGAATATGAACTTCTCCAGTAATTGATCATGACATACAGACGTACAGACAGTCCATCCCATTACAGTATGCTATTTCAGTATACATTTTAAGTAATAATAAATGCACAAGTGTATTTTATCATTTGCAAACTTTTAGACTAGTTTTTGATTGCAGAAGAATTTCACATCAAGTGTCACTGTGACCTTAACCTAATTACCTTAAAATAAATAGGGGTCATCTATAGGCCATAGGCATTATCTCTTCCAATGATATCATTTATGTATAATATTTCTTTGGAAATCATACTGTAACCTTGACCTTTGACCTAATGATATCAAAACCATCAGGTGTCTTTATTTTGGCCAGGGGCATGGTTCCTACCAAGTTACATAAATTACAACTTATTCCTTCTCCAGTAATTGATCATGACATATAGACGAACAGACAGTCCATCCCATCCCATTACAGTATGCTGTTACAGTATACATTTTAAGTAATAATAAATGATAATTAATTGTATTTAGTTTATGAAAATGAATAATCATAAGCACCTTCTGCTTAAACCAAGAAAAGGTAAAACGGTTAAACTTTGTTATTATGTCATAATATAGATATTAGTATTAGGTAACATTTAATTTAAATGCAATCTTCACACTAAAAAGGTTAGGTTAACAGTTACTGTTAGTAGAACCTTTTCATAGCCACAAACAACCACATTCAAAAAGCAAATTATCACATGAATAGTATATAAACAAACAGCAACATATATAATTTGCCCATGCCACAAGTATAACCCCATGCAGCCTGCAAATACATGCATTTTTAATATCCCCTCCATTGGTTTCATTTTGTATGGTCCAAATTTTAAAGCCTAAAGTAAATGCCAAACTTACCTTAAAATTAAAAGGATGAATTAACAGACAGCCAATGCAACATGTCTATTAACATCCTTTTTGTTTTAAACTTTACAACAAAGGACTGCCATAAGGAACATGTTAGTTGGAAGCACCTAAGTCCTTGTTGGTAATTTAAGTACTCTAGGGGGTGGCATTTACATAAAAAAATCTTGATAATGGTAATTAGTGGGTTACATACCAAAATTGCATATCATTTAATTTGTTTACAACAAATCACCAAAATACTTCATCAACAGAATAAAACAAATCTCAAAAGTTAAAGATTAATTTCTATTAACTGTCAACCTTAAAAGCCCTCAACTCGTAGTTGTCAGACTTAAGAATATATGACGCAACACTCTTTCAAAAAGTTAAACAAAATCTTGTTTTAATCTAGATTTAAACTGAAACATAAGCTATTATTATAAATATAAAATAAATTGTATTCATGACTTTGGTTATGAATGTAAATGTATTGAAAAGATAAAACCTTTTAATTGCTGATAAGCCAAGGAATGAAGTTATCTATGTTTGTTTACTTTACATTGACCACATTTGTTTCACCAGTCTCGACCAGTTTAAAATGGGTATATATTAACTATTCATCCAAATAAATAAACATAGCATTATAACAGTACTTAAGTGTCATTAAAGCAGAACACCAATACAATGCATATCAATTTTGTAAAAAGAAAACAAATGGTTCAATAACTCAAAAAAAAAGATTTGCTTTTAAATTAATTGATCCAACCTTAGATTTAATCATAAAATAGCCATGTTTATTTAACACAACATTATACAAAGTGTTTCTTTTTCTCACTTACACTATAAATAAGTCCAAAAGCAAAGTACATGTACCTGACTTTTTGACTTTGCGAAATACAGGGCCAGGGTGAATTAAATTTGAAAAATTCCTCAGTGAATTAAATTTGAAAATTCCCTGTGAATAAAATTTGATAATTCCCCAGTGAATTAAATTTGAAATTCCACAGTGAACTACATTTAAAAAGTTCCACAATGAATAAAATTTGAAAATCTCCTGGGAAATATTTTATAAATGGAGAAAACAGGCAGTTTTTAAACAGGTCTTTTCCTGCCCATTTTGGGAAAATTTAGTACCTTGCTCAGTTTCGGAAACTGTGCCTTTTGAAACCTTATTTCAGGACCTTTATGCATGGTATTTTGAATTGTGTGTCAGACAGTGTTTTTTTCAACCAACAAAAATATCAACCAAAGTATTATGAAACTTGACAATAAAATGTGAGAGAACATCTTTTTGTTATGATACTGGAATGAAGTTAAACAAATTTTTCAGGTTGGATATTCATACATGTATTTGGTAATTTCAGTTAAGCTTTTTTCAAGATTGGGAAGGAATACGGATGTCTGTCATTAGAAATGGCATTGGGCCTGGTGGGAAAATGCATGGTTTTATGTTGAATTGTAATACAATACCATTAACTTATCACTTCAAACTTTTACTCTTCTTCAGGTAGAAAGGATCTTTACATAACTTTTTTAAATAAATTATCTAATGACCATGAAGAGGAATTTAATAGACTTGAGGTGTTAAGAAAAGCATCATCATAAGTATAAGAGAAGAATCAAGATTTCCATTTGTAAGCTATAAAATTCCAGGCAAAAGAAAGCATCATCAACCTTAATTTTAAATAAAGTATATGAAGATACTCAACCAATGAACATCTCTCTTTATACACAGGCAATCCTCTTAGAAATAAAGACTTAAAAGTTTTACATCAGTTTCAGTCTCTTTCTATATTTGATGCTCAATAATGCTAAAATAAGAGTTTAACAACAATAATAAATAAAACTTATTTCGAAAGATAATTACCAAGTCAAGGGTATTGGAATGACAGTAAGGATATGATTCTAATGAGATTGAGTTTAACCTGGTTTCACAGTGCTCAACATTCAGCTATGTTTCCGACAACATAATGTACATGTAATTTACATACAAGCAAAACAAGTAATAAAGGCAATATTATACATGATACATATTTGCTATTTTCAAAGATGGAGTAAATGCATGCCCAGATTCCCATACATGTATAATGAATATATATATCAAAGCAAAACCCCTGACCACAACAAAAAAAAGGAGAAAAAATCCCACCCCTAGCCTTCTTTCTTAAGACAGCCAACTTCGTTTCCCCTCCCTCCTTACCTCAACTCTTGTCCCAGTATCTCCAAACACATATAAAAGCTAAACTAGACAACTTAGATTCATACAGTATCATACTAAAAGAAAGCTACATGTTTAGCAAAACAGAACTGTTAGTTGGGATACAAAGTTTCATTCAAAAATGCAGTTAGTTTAAAGAATTATCAATATGAAAGTCATACATGTATATGCAAAATTATATCTTCTTAAACAACTAAACAAGCAACAATATAGTGTTACCATATAAACTTGCTGTTTTGGGATATATCAGTCCAAATGCCTTCTTCAATTTTTGAAAAAAATCTTCTAAAACTTAGGTAAGTGTCTTTATTTTCCTCAAACATTAAACATTTCTTTATTTTTGAACTGTCCTTGAACCTCTGGGAATTTCAAGGAAAAAAGCATTTATAAGAAGTAAAAACACAAAATTAATGTTTCCACTAACAACATTAATACATTTAAGCTATATATGCCCAAAGACAAGTTTTTGCCAAAAGACAATTTCAAAGAAATCTCAAAATCCAGATTTTGACTATAGTTTTAGAATTTTGAATCTTTTCTCTAAATTTTCATGAAAACTTGCATGATTATGGAGACATGCTGCTTTAATCCTTTTACATGTCCAAGAAGATACAATTTTGCCGAGTGTGATGAAAAACTCCTTTGCGAACTGCAGAGCAATCGCAATATCTCCCCCCACAAATGTTTGACAGTTCATGGGCAATTACTCTATTCTGAAGGTCTAATGCTAAAACTCATGCAAACAGAACAACATTCACATGGACTTCTTAAAATGTAAACTGTTAAAGTTATTTTAAATTAAAATTTATTTGTGAAACTTGTAAAAAAATGTCATAGTTTTCAAAAAAGATTTGCATGATTTGTGCCATACCCCTACAAATACATGTACATGACTGAAATGAGAACATGAGTAGGAAAAAAGAAATATTAAATGATTAAAACAGATAATCCCATTTATTACTGTTTGTGGTCAAGGTTTGGCTTTGAAATTGAATAATGCTATCAAATTCATTAGCAAATATCGAGGTATCCATATGTACTATAAATTACAAGTTCTTATGACTAAAACTAAAGGGTCTTTATAATGTAAATATAATACACATTCCAAAATCAATTTGTAACACAACATTCAATATAATGTGTATACATTAAGATGAGACTTGCATCTGTAGGAAAGACAACACTATTTATTAATCATTACAAATCAAATATCCATAAATTTACTGACACAGTTTAAGTTAAAAATTCACATTATTTATTAAACTCACTACTTTTTAACATAGACTAATTAACCAAGTAATAAATTTCAACTGGTTATCAAACAATTTTGAAAGCTAACTCAATTTTTTAGTCTAATATATTTATCACAAAGGACTTTATATTAGTTTAGTGTTTAAAATTATTTTTTGTCCAATAGGATAACAGTATTTCAAATGAATTGTAAGTCATTTAGTTTGGTAAATCAGCAAACTGTTAATCAGTCTAGTAAATCGTCTGTTTATAAGAATAATTTAAAACACTATGCTGGTAAAAATTTATTAGTACGTATTTCCAAAATTAAATTGGCTGCGCAAGAAAGAAAACAACATTTTCAAACAATATGTAAAACCAGGCCTGTGTAAAACATATTTTACATCCAGTAGAGTCTGACAATTCTAAGTACATCAGGGATTTCACAATTAACTACTTGCTAGTCAATTTAACCACAATATAGTGATTACACTCTTTTTTACTGCAGTGCACATTTTAAGTAGCCCATGAGATGCAAGGATTTCACTTACCCTCAACTTTTTATAAAGCTTAAATAGAAAAATACCATAATAAGGCCTTGAATTATAAATTGGAAATATAACACTTGATCTATCTTAACTTTTATGACAATTACTCACATTCAGTTCTGAATGTTATTATACAGTAGGCACATACAAATAACTATAACAAAAAAATAGTCAAGTTAGTTTAAAAATATTTAATTTATTTAAGCTTGATTATGAAACAGACATAATAAGTGATATTAATCACTTTCTGAGTTTCAAAACTACTTTGCTGGAACAAGCCAGTACTGAAGTTATATGCAGAAAATGGTTGTGACACCAAGGGCCTGAACTGAGGATCCCTGGGATGAGAGGCAGACCCATTAACAACTTAGCCATTACTCTTGTTAATCATTTTCACAAAAAACAAAAACAAATGAAAATGGTTTGGTTAAACACTGTTCACAGCTCTTCTGTCCACATAAATCAAATCACCAATGTAAATTTTATTACAAAAATATGATATTAAAAGTACATGTACAGCTTTCAATTAATTCAGTCATCAATGCTAAACTTTTAACTTTAAAAAGTTGCATAACTCACAAAAATTAAATTAATTCAAGAGTAAGACATGCAGTCATGAGTGTTATGACCCCTTCATGGCAACAACTCTCAATAACCAATTTTGACAAATTTTCTAACTAAATCTAAACTAAAATAAAAACTATTAAGTTAACAAGAGCTGTCTGTAGGACAGCACGCTCGACTATTCTAAGTGCTTGATAGTAAAAGAGCCTTTATAATGTTAATTTTTTTAAGTTCACAAAAGGGCTAATTTTTTTATATAAATTTATGTTATAGGCCTTAGAGAGTATAATTATACAGTATTGGCTTGACTATTCAGAAGGTAATGTCACAAAGGTGTTTTATTGAGTATAATAATACTAATTACCTATGAATACATAAATTTGACAGACAAGGTACAAAGGCTTGTTATTAAGATGTTTTATCAAGTAAATCACTGCTTTATTATTATGAATGCATAAAATTGTCCCAAAAAAGGCACAAACCCTTCAGTAGTTATTGAGACAACAGCTTACAAGCAAAACTTTACCATGAATTTCTAAGTTGAAAAAGGGGAGAAAAATCACCCTAAATGCAAGATAGAATTATGGATCTTTGTCAGTGACCTACAATTATGACCCTAAATGCATATGTGAAGTTTTAAATAAATATCTTTAATAGTTATTGAGATATGTAAAACTTGCATGTAAACATTAACCAAGAGACTAAGTAGAAAAGGGGATATGAATCAGCCTTAATGCAAGATAGAGTTTATGGAACTTGGTCAGTGACATACAATTATGACCCTCCAATTATGACCCTAAGTGCATGTGTAAAGTTTCAAGTAAATATCTTTGAAGACCTTTAACCTTTAACCAAAATTTCTAAGTTTCAAAGGGGCAAATAATTCTGCAAATATTGCAGGCAGAGTTATGCAATTTTGCAAACTGATGTACATTGTTACTATAAAAGAGTATTTCAAATTTCAATTGAATATCTCAAGCAATAATTGAGATATTTGACTTTAAAAAAAAACTTTAACCAAAATTTCTAAGTTAAAAAGGGGCATAATTCTGTCAATATTGTAGGCAGAGTTATCCAACTTGTCAATCTGATGTACCTTGTTACTATAAATAAGTATTGTAAGTTTCAATTGAATATCTCAAGCAATAATTGAGAAATTTGACTTTACAAAAAACTTTAACCAAAATTTCTAAGTTAAAAAGGGGCATAATTCTGTCAATATTGTAGGCAGAGTTATCCAACTTGTCAATCTGATGTATCTTGTTACTATAAATAAGTATTGTAAGTTTCAATTGAATATCTCAAGCAATAATTGAGATATTTGACTTTACAAAAAACTTTAACCAAAATTTCTAAGTTAAAAAGGGGCATAATTCTGTCAATATTGTAGGCAGAGTTATCCAACTTGTCAATCTGATGTACCTTGTTACTATAAATAAGTATTGTAAGTTTCAATTGAATATCTCAAGCAATAATTGAGATATTTAACTTTACAAAAAACTTTAACCAACGCAGACGCCGACGCGGACGCTGACGCCGACGCCGGGGCGACTACAATAGCTCTCATATTCTTCGAATAGTCGAGCTAAAAAGGGGCATACTTTCAAAATTATTGGTTTCAGAATTATATCATGTCCCTTGTCTAACAACTGCACCTTGTTATAGTATTCAAATTTTCATGATGATAACGTTTAAAATGTTTGAGTAATGCCTAATGGGCTACAGTCTATATATCAAAATATACCAGAATAATAAAATTATATTAAAATTTTCCATGGAAAATGATTTAACTTCAAATTAAACTCATTAAAAACATTGTTTTGACTCTTCTGATAAATCAAGTTACGTTTAAATCTATTCTACATAACATTTTAACAGTATTGGCATCGGGTCCGCCATGCGCGAAAGTTCGAATATGATTAAGTACGAATAAATCATATTTGTTTACATGAGCTACGGACATTATTTACCTCATATTTTGAATTGTCACCCTTTACCACAGCTGATGCTACTGTACGAACCATTGCGCTACACTATAACTTCCACAACCATTTACAAAATCTTCGGAAAGTAACTATTTACACCGATCACGGTTCCTCAACGTGCTTTCATTTTGTGCCAATTAGCAAGTGGCCGTTGTCACGTGACTTTGTAGTATTTATAAATTTTACATAGCAAAGCTATCATTTTATTAGTTTCGAATGAAATGGTCTCACATAGCATTAGTTTACGCTTGACTGAAGCGCACATAATTAGGCTGGATGGGGTTCTTGTATGCCATGGCCTTTTAAAGTGGTTAAATATATGAAAGTTGCAGCTTGTAACATGCTTTAAATAATTATTGTCGATGATATAGAACATCTTGAGCAGTCTAATAACCACTTCTATCACCTAAAGCAGAAAGAATAAGAAAATAACAATTTTTAAAATTAAATAAATTCCTTAAGAAACAACAGGGTCTTTCAAATTTGAACGACCTTGGTTTAATACAAAGACGATAAAGTAAAAAAACATATTTATATTATATATACATTATCAAAAATACATGTAGATCTATGGCGAATGTTTATAATAGATAAAAAGCTTTCAATTAAAAGGCACCAACTTCCAAAGAGGATAAACTGCAATCGAGAGTTCAAAATTGAATTTCTTAGTTTTAAAGCGTCTCAAAATGTCAATAAAGTCCTCTCCTGCATTTGATTGTATTTCTGACTTTATTGCCAGATCACATGCTTATTCTGTCATTTCACCTACAGCATTGCTGTATTAAGAAAACACTTTAATGTAGCTTTCTCCAAGACAGCCTATACCAGCAGCAATGACAATCTATTGAACTTGTTAGGAAGTATTCCTGACACGAAATATCCATGCAGCATTCTTAAATTAGCCAAATATTTCTGTCCCAAGTATTGACTGCTACTCTATGTCAAACTATGTTTGCTTTTGCATGTAAATTTTAGGACACTCACATGTCCAAAGTAATCGGTATTTTAAGTGACTAACAACACACTAAATTAAATTTTCTATGTTGCTTGAAGATGTAAGAAAGAACTGTTCTTCCTAATAATCATCTTCATTAATGCCTTGAAACGAAGTATCGTAATAACTGTCACCTTTTTGTTTCTTTTGCTTCTCAGATGTAGATTGATTAGTCTCTATATATTTGGACATTATCAAAACCCCAAATTAAGAATTGCATTGTCAATGCTTAGGGTTTCGGCGCATAGATTAGAATAGAAACAGGCAGGTGGCACAAACCTTTAAAAATCCCATATTCAGACCGTAAATGTTTAATCTGTAAAACATTAGGGGATGAATTTCATTTTTTACTTGAGTGTCCTCTGTATATTGATTAACGCAAACGATATATAAAACAATATTTTTGGAGAAATGCTAATGTATTAAAATTTACTGAGCTTTTAAACAATGATATTAACAAAGTAGTTATTCAGAAGTTATCATTGTATGTCTTAAAAAGTTTTGAACTAAGAACACAATATTTGAACCGAATTATGTAAAATATATATAGATATATACATGTGCATGTACAAGAATTGATGGATCTTGCATATATCGTATTATGTAATTGTTGAAATTGTATTTCTTTATTATTTTTTTCTTAAGTCACCAGAAATTCTCCCCTGTTAAAGTTAAAAACATGATTTGTGAATTAAAATCAGTTAGATATATATTTTTTTTTCAGGTGATTGCAGATTAGATCAAATTAATGATTACAATTGTTATTTACTGTTTATATACTGTTTGACTGCCATTGTGATGATATTTTATTGTGAAATTTAGATATTACAATCTTTTGTGTATTAATATATTTAGCTATGTAAGATGATGGACATATCATGTCTTATTTCTGAATAAAGTATATATATCGAGCCTTGTATAACCTAAAAACTTCTAACAATAACTGTTTCGATGCTACATTGTTAGGATTTCCTTCACATAAATGAGATTTCATGTCTCTAACAATATCCATAATATCCTTCTTCTCCTGCTCATTTTCACACATATATTTTTTTCTTCTTTCCTGATTTCGTCTTTTAACAGCACTTGGATTATCCTTGTAATATTTCCTCTTTTGACCCTTATCATCCATTATTCAGTATACAATGTATGTACATGTAGTTATTTAGTATGGTTTTTAATATATTATTTAGACTATTCAGAAAGTGTAATGTCATGGTGCTATCAGCAGAGATAAAACAAAATATCACATTTCTGTGTTTAATTGGCATACAAGTAATAGAAAGAGCATCGAAACACGAGGCTATCTGATTTGTTCGAGGGGCGTAACTCCCCGAGTATAAATCAGATTGCTGAGTGTTTTCATGTTCTTTCTCTTTTGTATCATAGTCAAACATAAAAACACGTTCCCTGTTGTCACAATATGAAAACCCAGGAAAAAGTAACCAATGAACGAGCATCTGAATATGATATTTCTGTCGCTTTCCCTTTCTCTGCCGTCACAATAAGTAAACCCCTGTAAAAATGAGCCAATCAATGGGCATGCTCTGGAGTGCGGGTAACTAATACCTGCACTCCAGTTAACGCACTTGGCAAGCATATGTATACGATTTTACAACAGAAAGGCGTTTTATTCAGGTTATTATGAAAAGATTTGATCTATTCATCATACTAAACATGTTAGCTTCAGAAAATTGTAACTATATATAACTATCATCCTAAGAATGCAATATATATGTATTGTATATATTTATGCATGTATACTGCTAATGATTCCCGCTGTTGTAGGACTTGTGCATTTTGTAAATGAAGTTAAAATTAAATTTGGATTTGTAATAGGGAGTTTTTCATAAATCTCCGGACATAAAGCATGTATACTTAAAGTTTCTGAAACAAATACTTGATGTTAAACAACAAACATGCCGTACTGCAGTTTCTGCTGAATTTGGTGTATTTCCTTTGTATATAGTGCGTTGAATTAGAATAATTAAGTTTTGGTATAAAATTAAAAATATACCTAACTCAACTTTGTATATATTAATGATTTTGTAGGGACGAAATGATACATTGTTAAATAGTTGGTCATGTTAAGTAAAAATAAGTTATTGGATGTCCTTTTTTCTTACTAGTGGAATAGTGACAATATCTGAAATGAATGTTAAATTAATTATTCAAAGAATCCTATCAGCAATATTACAACAATGGTTATCTGGTCACCCCAACCCCCGTCATAAATTTGCACAATTCAGGGTTATTTTTGCACAATTCCTGTATTATTTCAACATTCCTTCGTAATGGGATATACGTATCAGGTGTATAGTCAATATCATCTGTGTATGAATTTTAAAAATCATTAACAATAAAATCATTCTTTTTACCAACCTTTCTGTTAAAGTCTCCATTGACGAATACATATCCTATTTGTTCATAAATAAATATACAGTCTTCTAAAAGATCAAGTCGGTGTTTATAACATTATATGTATGAGTGTCTTCAACACGCTTACAAACCCTATGACAAGTAGAGAAACTGAAAGCCCTGATCAGACTGCGCGGATGCGCAGGCTGGTCTGGATCCATGCTGGTCGCAAACGCATTATGTTGGTTTTGTCATGACGCGGCTCATATCATATTTTGAGTTGTAAAAACTTTATGATCAAGTTACAGCCAAATTATAGTATCGTAATGATTTTTCACTATTTCAATGCCATTCTTTAAACTATCTCTATATTATAAAGTTATACCACCACTATAAACGGTGTATAAATTTTCTATAAAAATTATGGACAATATAACTATTCATTTCAACGTAACTGGTAGATCACGTCGCAGTTTCATATTAACAACAAACATTACTATGGGAAATAATATTTACAAAAGCATATCTTTGTCTTTTTATTTTATTTGTCGGAACATAGTCCATTTACATTCCAATAATTATTTCAAAGATAGACAAATCGGCATTGCAAATGCCTTTGACCAGTTACACATACTAAATATGGTCAAGACATACAGTTTATAAAGGATATTCAAGTTCATTTTATAAATACAGGATATATTTTAAAAATGAATATTTCACGAGTGTCAGTAGTTAATTACCTCTTTTCATTTACATGAAATGTAAATTCAGTAATATCTTAACAAATAATGCTTTTTGGAATTTATAATATTGATAAATTCTCATTTAAGCATCATATTTGTGATATAAAACCATAAAAACCATTTCGGACTAGTATATCGGCGATGGAACAAGATACTTAACTACCCCCCCCCCGAAATTAATTTTTTTTTATTATTGAGGACACTTCACTATCCAATACAGTGTCTCAGGTTTCTGATGTGTGAAGTGTTTTTGGGTGAGGTGTCTGAAAGTATTGGCGATGTTATCCAAAAAGTCGCTTCACATATATTTCACACATATTTTATTGTCCTACATAATATATCTGCTATCTTCAGTTATACTCTGGCATACATGTCCGTCGCACTTTGTGCTTTCAGCACTTTGATATGTATCCTACGTATGAGTTAAAAACTCCTAATTAGGCATTTTTATCTACTACGTAGGAGTTATTAAGTCCTACGCTAAGTCCTACGTAGGAATTTAAAACTCCTAAGTAGGCTTTTATTTATCTCCTACGTAGGAGTTAACATTTTTATAGAACATGTTAAATTGGCACCAAGACGCATCCTTAGAAACCTAAACTATCAAGTAACGTTTTAATTTTATTTTGACCAAGACTTTGCATTCTGAAAATTGCATTGCTCTCTAAAATTCTGTAATTAGGCATGCATTGATAACTCATTATTTTCATCTTGTATTTCAAGGCTTTCTCTTTCATTAAAACTGACAAATGAGCCGCGTCACGACAAAACCAACATAATACGTTTGCGACCAGCATGGATCCAGACCAGGAGCCATGCTGTTCGCTTACAAACCCTATTACAAGTAGAGAAACTGATAGCGAACAGAATGGATCCTGATCAGACTGCGCGGATGCGCAGGCTGGTCTGGATCCATGCCGGTCGCAAACCCATTATGTTGGTTTTGTCGTGACGCGGCTCAAATAATAATCAATATCAAAAAAATATATTCAAAACAGATGTCTACATTTTAGAAACCTGGTATACTTTTTATTTCAGCTTTTATTATGATAATGTTTACTTTTTTTACATATAAAATTTAACATTTCCGGCACCAGTACTGGAAACTCATAGAAGCTATCTCGAATGTTTGCACTTAGCATTATACATGTAAAAGACGGTTTAATTCTTCTTCTTCTAATTTAAGATTACCAGATAACAGCTTATTATCACTTTTACGTCATTGAATTATACAAAGAAAGGGTAAATTACCTCAAAATCCAATTTCTCCTTTTCATCAAACGTTTCCATAACTTTAAATGAACTCAGCCTGTAACGTAAATAACCTTTTTGTAATAAGATTTTAATACATTTTGTCACTTTTTAAATCATCATTCAGTACACGACTAATTATATTGGTAATCAGCAAGTTGATTTAAAAGGTGCAGTCTGCAAATACATGTATCACGATGAATTTGAAAAGCCTTTTATTTCATCAATACGTCTAGACCAATAGAGCAATATGAAACTTAAATGCTATCATTAAAATCATTGTAAACAAAACGCCCATGATGGTCCCTAATTGCCCACCTGAAGATATTGTCTACAAGTTCTAACAATTTTGCAGAACAAGTGACTGATTTAAAGCTTATTTCTGGCAGACACCTTGTACAACTTTGGGCATTTTTGTAAAGGACTTCTTAATCATCATTGCTGTCAATTTCATCAAAATATATCGAGTGGTTAAGGAGAATATGTCGTTTTAAAAAGTTTTTTTTTTCTAGTTTTAGCATTCGTCGCCATCTTGTTCAGCAGAGAGAAACCATATTTGAGCAATTTATATAGAGGTTCACCTAAGGAACATTCCAGTATACTTTCATTACTGTTGACTCAGGAGGTCTTGTTTCAATAAAAATGTTCTTGATGGATGACGGACCCAGGAGTAGTACAAATTCTCTTATTGGGCACACTTTGTGTTTTTCTGAGCTAAAAATTCATACCAGAGTTATGGGTAATTGTTAGTGACCCATAATTGTCATAAACATCAAAAGATGTGCGTGCAGTTTTAAACTAGAACAATCAGTAGTTGTGAATCTTGCGTGCAAAACCTTCACCAGAAGAAAAAAAAAAACATGCTAGAGTTATGGGTCATGATCAGAGTCTTATAAGTTAACCAAAAATCTGCTTTTGGAGTTTCAAGTGTATATATATATATTTCAGTGCATATGGAGAAAGAACTTGTTTGCAAAAACCATAGACATGAAGTTTTAAAGTTTACAAAGGTGAATAATTTGGTACAATTCCATACCAGAGTTAAAGGTCTTGGTCGGTGACCTGTATAATTTTGACCCTACAGAAATTATGTAAAATTTCAGCTAAAACATTCAGTGGAGATAGAACTTGCATCTTTACCGGGGAAATTGTAAGTTTGCGTTGACGAAAATTACATGGAAGGTTAATGTGCCATGACCTATGATTGTAAACATGTTAAGTGCTTTTGGAGATAAATCATAACCATGATTTCTTAATTACAAACGAGTTAATTTAAATAAAAATCTTGAGTTGTTAGTCTCGCATTGTAACCCTTAAATACATTTGCGTTTTCATTGACAAACGAAGTTGCCCGATGAACCTAAATAGCATTGTAAAATCAAGATCTTTAAAAGGTATATTCGAGCTAAAATATGATTTGACTTCAAATGTGAATATGCTAGTAACTGATACATAGATTACAATCTAACTGATCTTAATTAATATTTTACATAACAATCACTCTTTCAATAAGATTTTTGCATTTTTTATGTCATAGCTTGTTTTTCAGGTTCATTAAAGTATGTTTGCCTTTAAAACCTTTCCTGTACACATGCTGTCACATTTTTTGCAGAAGCTTTTTATCTCAATTCGAGTAAAAACAATGCCCAATTATTACTGCAGTCAAAATAGAAGTCCATGTAACCTAATCTTGTTGCACCCGAATCATGTGCACTAAACTTCAATAAATACAAATGCACCTGTCAGAAAAAAGACGGTTAGAAAATAAGTTTGGTGAAAATGTCTGATTACTTCAAGTGTTCAACCACTATTTCATTAAAATTCTCACTTTAATATTACTATACCTATATAAAGACAAAACAAATACAGATGCATTTGTCAGAAAAACAACGGTTAAAAAAGTAAGTATGGTGAAAATTTCTGATTTCTTTAACCACTATTTCATCAAAATTCTCAATTTAATGATATTACTGTACCTATACAAATCAGTCAATGGTAGAAAGAATTTATAGTTCTTTTAATGAGATTAGTTTAAATTCAGTGATTTCATTTTTTCTGATCTTATAAAGTGGATAATCATCGTCCCTTGTAAATGAAGTCACATAGTTTCAGATGAATTGTCAGTGATGGTTTCACCTGACAAAGAGAACACATTATTTATTAAAACATAAGCTTTATATGTTACAGTATGAGGAATAGGTCTGTATTGTATTTAAAGACCCGGACCGAGAGTAACCTTGACCCCAGGGGGTCCAAAAGCAATCACAACCGTGATTTCCACATAAGGTTGCTATATATAAGTTTGATTATAATAACTTGTTCCAAACTAAAGTTATCGTCCGGAAACCATGAAGTGGACCGACCGGCAAGCTGGCTCCTATATACCCTTCTAAACTGTCGCTATGAAAGTCAGTTGTTGCAATATAGGTCACTGGTTCAATGGACAGCCAATGGTTGCTATGGAAAGGCACTGGTTGCTATGGAAAGTCAATGGTTGCTATGGAAAGTCAATGGTTGCTATGGAAAGTCAAATGGTTGCCATGACAAGTCACTGGATGCTATGGAAAGTCACTGGGTGTAATGAAGTCTATAGTTGCTATGGAAAGTTAATGGTTGCTATGCGAGTCACTGGTTGCTACGGAAGTCAATGGTTGCTATGGAAAGTCACTGGTTGCTATCGAAAGTCAATGGCTGCAATATTGTCACTGGCTGCTATGGAATATCAATTATTGCCATGGAAAGACACTGGTTGTTATGGAATGTCACTGGTCGTTAAAGAGGTTCATGATTGCAATGAAAAGTCAATGGTTGCTATGTAAATAAATGGCTGCTATGTGAATCACTGGTTTCTATGGGAAGTCACTGGTTGATTGGAAGTCATTTTTTGCTATGTTAAGGTGTCAATGGTTGCTATAAAGTATTGGAGCACTAGTATCCATTAAGTAGCAAATGTCCAATAATATATTTTTAAACTTGCAGTGAGACTAAAAGTGTTGTTACATAGCACAACACTATTAATACCCTAGTGAGGTATATACCGGACAGGGCATTTGAATGATTAATCACCAGTCAAAATGCACTTTAAGACACCTAATTCATCTCTTCAATCTAGTGAATGAAAATAGAAAATGGGCGAAAAAAAAGTGATCTTTTTTACTTTTGTGATCATGATTTTTGCAAGCATCTAGAGGTACCTCTTCAACTCAGTAGTGAGTTAAATCCTTAATGTTCCAGATTTTGAAACTGCAGCAGAAACAGCGGCATCAGTGAGGGAGGCCACGGTGGCAAACAACAACAATAGCATCCTTTGTCACATCTAAATATGAGCTGCGTCATGACAAAACCAACATGTTTAGTTGTTGTTAAGTTGTGGCTTTATTTTTCAACATCTAGTAACTTATCAAGATAGTTTGAAAACAACAACAAAATAGTAACATCTTAATCAGTTTAATATTTAATGACACATTTTATATCTAACAGCAGTAATCACAGTTTTAAGATAGGAATAAATCAATAAGGAGTTTTGAATAATGACATAAAGTTGTAAAAAGACCTAATTTTGCATTAAAATCCATAAAACCATTTAAGTTATATTTGAAAACTAGCACAACTCAGATTTCTGAATATTTATCACACAAAAAATATATAATTATAATAAAAATAAACTGTTTTTCTTACTTTTAATATACTGTTTAATAAGGCACCAACACAAAAAGTTTATCATTTTAAGAAGAAGAAATTTAATGACCTTACTTCTTACACAGGTATACTATCCTTCACAGAAACATTTTAATTCTTCAAAGTTTACAGTTTATCTTAACAATCAACAAATTAAGTTATAAGTGAAAAGTTTGGTCACTTCTTATCAGTAAAAGAAAAACAAAACAACAAGAAATCATGTACAAACAAAATTATTTACGTATGACTTATCAGTGTGATCAGGGTTAATGATTACTTAATGCCTCGTCTGATTTATAGAAGATAAGTTATTCCAAATATACTAAATATGTAGCTGAGCATTTAACATGTACTAACCAATTTAAAAGTTTTAAATAAAGTGTATTCACCAAAACAAAATGGTTAAAATACCATGTACATGGATTATGCATACATCCCTGACCTGTCTAATTCTAATCATCAGACAAGTGGATACAATAAGAATTTCAGCTCAAAATGTTTCTTCATGTCGATGTTTGTGGTTAATCTATTGTTATTCAAATAAAAAGGTCAGACTAGGGATATCAATCATCACAAAAAAGGTGTTTTCTTCATATTTTTGTCTGCAGTATGTACCCTGTATTTATGAAAATGGTGAGTTTTCTTTATTAATACAGCAATGTCCCTATGAAACCAGAATTGAAAAAAAAATATCTTTGGAAAATTTAATGATTTATCACATTTATTAAAGAAGATAACATAAATAATTAAAAAATTAATACACCTCAATATATGAAAGGATATCTAGAATTATTATAACTGATAAATAATGACAATACATTGTCAAATATTTAAATAATATAGCACTGTAACATTCAATACAGATCACTGTTCCATTATTACCCTGCTTTCTTAAAACTCATTAAATATATTCCATAATACCATATTGATTCTAATTAGCAACCTTCCATCAAATAAGCACACCCATCAAAAATTTGTTTATTCACTTTTTGGGGGCGGTTGGGTTTTATATAGCATCAAAACAGTAGGCAGCTTTTCAGCTTTACTGGTGGAGGACATCAAAAGTTTAAAATAGCAAAGTCTGATATACATGTATCTTTGCTCTATGAATATAATAACATAATCATCATTTTATTCTTAATACCATACCAGCCAAAAAGAACAATAATTAGAATGAGTACATGTACAATAAATTAATAACAAAATGCACTTTTTAAAATGTTCCATAAGAATGGATAAGATACACAATCTACAATTTTGCTTTTATTTATTTCTAAAATTCAGTTAATTCACTTAAAACAAGAGTTATTGCTAGATCACCATGCTTGACTATTCTCAGTGCTTTGTAATGAATCAAGAGCCTGGATAATAAAGAAGTTCAAAAATGGCCATAATTCTGTCAAAATCCAGATGTTAGAGTTATGTTCTTAAATAGTGACCTCCTATTATGCTCTCAAATAAGTATGTGAAGATTCAACCCATTCCCTTAAGTAGTTTTGCAGATACCAACTTGCTAACAAAAACTGAACCAAAGTGTGATTGCTACAGTGACGCGACACCAACGCCTGGGTGAGTACAATAGATCTCCTTATTAATATTATTCAAATTGTTGCACTAAAAGTGAAATCAGTTAATCATCAAGCTTCCCAGGGTCAATTCAAGGGCCTGTAAGTATACAGCCAGGGTTAAATCATTAAAGGCAACATGCTCTCAAAGAATAGAGTCTATAATCACTTTCCAAGGGAAAAAAATGTTTTCAGTATTTCATTCTAGTATTCATCAGCATTCTTATGGCTAAACATGTTTCCCAATGAATTCATTCCCTCTTACTGCTAATGAGTGGCATATAAAAATAACTAAAACAAAATAAAAACAATAAAATTATCACAGATATTCTTAGATAGGACGGAATGTGAATACCATTGTATGTTTCCTATAAGTAAATAAAATAAATAATTCACAATTGTAATATATTCAACGAACCTCAAATGTATCAAACTGATAAATGCTGTTACAATTGAAAAAATAATAATAAAAAATAATGAAAAAAACTTTCGCGTCTTTTTAAACAAAGTAAACAAAGTTTGTGAAGTGTTGATATTATCATATGTTTCTTGACAAAAATAACATTTTTCTATTAAAGTCAAAATGGGTAAAAAACCAGGGCAGGAGAAAGAAAAAATACTTTGTCTGTATTTCTTCACAGTCAGATACATGTAACATTAGTAACACAGAACTCTGACTTGTCTATTATCCATGATGGATCGGCTGATTGTTCTTATAAAACTATTCAGTGCTGCTATACATAACACGGTGAACGTTCAACATCATTATATCACAGGATGAAGGTTTACTTAACCGTCACATCACATTTTCACTTTTTCTTTCCTTTTGAACCCTTTGAACTCTTAGAAGTTTGTGATTCAGGACGAGGTTTTTTATCTACATCTGACGCTTCTTTTGAAGCGGGTCGTGTTGAAGGTGTTTTCGGAGGTTTCGGCGTCGTTGCCTTAGGTTCTTCTTTAGGTTTTTCCGCCAATTCTTTCTGACGTTTTCTCGAGCTCAGCAATTCTCTTTGCCATCTCTCTGATTTTCTCCAGACAAACGTTCAACTCAGCCTCGGCAGTGTCGGCTTTTTCTTCTGCTATTTGTGCTCGCTCTTCTGTAGCCCTGTCAACATGACATAGAGATTATTGAACAAGTGTAGGTTCAATACTGAATTTATTGACCAAGTTAAATAATAATATATTATGCAAGCATCTGGCAGGCACTATATCATTTTATTCAATGAATTCAATAAAAACAGTAATGAACCTACACGAATATAACATTCTATTTATCACATACCCAAAATAAAGACTGTTTAAAGTGAAAAGAATCATTTTTCATTGACATGCCTATAGTGCAATGCTAACATTTAGGGCGTCTTCGTATTGTATAACGCAAATAACGTCAGGTCAAAATATATGCATGGCCGCACAATATCATTTTTAGGGAGTCACAAAAGCAGCATGAGTATGTGATAAATCCAGTTGATACACTACATCTAAATTATATAGCAAAAACTATACATATGTTTACCAAGAATATGTTTACATAACATCTCATCACTGAGAGCTTTATTCTGATAATCCACAACATAATCCACAGCAAAAAGCACAGCTTTACACTGTATTAAAAATAATGGCCATTTTGTGATAAGAATTTCTCCAACAGTACAGATATTGATTTCATTATAAGTTTTCAAAAAACATAATGTCTCAAGGATATTTATTTATTGTATGTATTGTAAATTATTATAGATTTACTTACAGTAACTGTTTATTTAATGAATCTACAGCAGCTAAGGCCTCATAAGCTTTTGCCGTATCAGGGCCTCCAGCCCCTGGTGGACCTGGAGCAGCAGTTTTACCATCAGGAAGGAATGGCTGAAATTATCATGTAAAATAATATTTATGTTATATTTTAGAACTGATATGCAAATAAGACTCTAACCTAATGAATATTTATGAGAAGTTGTACTATTCTTATTGGCTAAAGTTGCATGCCTCCAGAGGAGCCAAAATATTTCAAGAAAATTAAACTTGAGAAAAATGTACATGTACTAAGATTTCAACAAAAGTTAAACAATTCAATTTACATGTTATATGCGATTAATGACTGATTTTCCAGTAACTTTAACCAAATTTATCTGTGTTATTAATGCAAAAGGGCTATTATAGCACATTTTGACCTCTTTTTTGGTAATTTATGTGGATTGTTTGTGCCGTTTGTATGCTGTTTATTTTTTTTTTGTTCACTTCACAATATTTTAGTTTTAACTAGAACTGCCACTGTCATGATGTGAATACCCCCGCATACCACTTTGTCAGAATCAACAGTGGCCATTTAGAGCTCAAGGACAACCTTCCTGCCAAACCTGAGGTTACTAAGCCAGTGCATTGCTAATTTATGTATTCTACATGCTTCAAATGTGAAAATGTCAAAATCAATACACTGCAGACAGGCATTCTTAAGCATTTGAGCAGACAAGCTTATTATAGTAAAAAATCCCTGTGACCTTGACATTTGACACAGTCACCTAAAAATCAATAAGGGTCATCTACTAGTCATAAACAACCTCAATTCCAAATATGAAGACTGTTGACCATAGTATTCTTAAGCAATTGAGCGGAAAAGCTTTTTAGTCAAGGCCCCTGTGACCTTGACCTTTGACCCAGTGACCTTAAAATCAATAGGGGTCACCTTATGGTCATGATCAACCTCCATGCCAAATATGAAGACTGTGGGTCAAAGGTTTCTTAAGTTATTGGGCGGACAAACTTTTTGAAGTCAAAGTCCCTGTGACCTTGACCTTTGACCCAGTGATCTCAAAACCAAAAGGAGTCATTAACTAATCATGACTAACCTCCATGCCACATATGAAGATTGTGGGTCAAAGGAATCTTAAGTTATTTGGTGGACAAAGTTTTTTTTAGTCAAGGCCTCTGTGACCTTGACCTTTGACCTCAAAATCAATAGGGGCCATCTATTTATCATGACTAACCTCCATGCCAAATATGAATACTGTGGGTCAAAGGAATCTTAAGTTATTGGGTGGACAAGCTTTTTTTAGTCAAGGCCGCAGTGACCTTGACCTGGTGACCTCGAAATAAATAGGGATCATCTACTAATCAAGTAGATCTACTAATCAAAATACCAAATATGAAGACTGTGGGTCAAAGGAATCTTAAGTTATAGGGTGGGCAAGCTTTTTTAGTCCAGGCCCCTGTGACCTTGACCTTTGACCCAGCGACCTCAAAATCAATAGGGGTCTACTAATCATGACTAACCTCCATGCCAAATATGAAGACTGTGGGTCAAAGGTTTCTTAAGTTATTGGGCAGACAAGCTTTTTATAGTCAATACCCCTGTGACCTTGACCTTTGACCTCAAAATCTATAGGGGTCATCTACTAATCATGATTAACCTCCATGCCAAATATGAAGACTGTAGGTCAACAGAATTTTAAGTTATTGGGCGGACAAGGAAAAACCGACGGACGGCCGGACGTCCGGACAAGCTGATTCCAGTATACCCCCCTTACAACTTCGTTGTGCGGGGTTATAAATACATTTTCAAACTTTTCATGAAAACTAGCATGATTATGGAGGCGTGTTTTGCTTTAACATGCATGCATGGCTTACCTTTTAGGGTGTAAACAAATAAAATCCAATATATCAACTTGAAACAATACCAAAAGTAGTAGAGGTCTTTTTTATGATTTATCTTTCATGTAGGAAAATTGAATTAGTGTTTCTGTGAAACAGTTATCAATATAATTATGTTTTCAAGCATAGGTTTGGCTATATTTTTTTAAAGGTGAACTTTACCTGGCTTGGTCTCTGTTCCAGTTTCTGGACATGAGTGTTGTCATCTCCACCAATGACCTCCAACTTCTCACCATCATCCTATAGTACACAACAATGTGAGTTACATGTTATTATTATTGAGATTTTTTTCTTTATATTATTAGTTATATAGATGTATGACAGGTTATGTTACAGTTTGGTTTGAACAGTTGTTAGCATTAATTTTATAACCTAAGCAAAAAGGCATGTGTTATAATTAGCAAAGAATCATTTTATATACAACCATAAAACCTGTCAAAAGTTCTTATAAATTTACAAATTCATATAACAGTATAACCATCTAACATTTTAAAGTTTTTATAACAAATTTATATTTCAGTACAGTCAGTGCTTTTTATGATAAAAAATTATTGAAAATTAGAAATGAATTTGCAGCGGCAAAGTTTCTAAATAATATAAATGTAATGATTATCCAGTGAAATTTTATATTGCAAATGTGCAGTACTGTGCTATTATTATTATAGATATATACTCATATATTCTATGGTTTTCATTATTTTTTACACAGACTTCATTTTGTATTTTAAAGCAGTCTCTATCTATCTATATCTTTTGAATTACATTTAACCAGTGTTATCTTTTATGAGAAAGTATACAGCTGTCATTGATTCAGTGCAAAGCATATCAACAATATATTAATATCAGATGACAAATATAGATACACTGATATCAGATATATGTCAATTATGTTACAACACCATAGTTACAGAAACTGACACCTGTTTTTGTTTATGTTTTAGGCAAAATTCAATTATTTCTAGGCATTTAATCAATTACACAAATTTATCCAAATTTTAAAATGTGTTATGATTATTGATCAATAGCAAAATTTTGACAATACATAAAATGACAGAGCGCTCTAACTTCTGAAGTTAGTTCCTTTAATATAAAAAGAACAACAATTGTATATCTTACCTTTTCCTCGGCCTTTGTCTGTGTGCTTGTACCAGTGTCTGTTTTTGATTCCTCACTAGTTTGTTTACCCTCCTCAGTTTCTCCCTCAGTCTGTTCCTTCTCCTCGTCTTCTTTACCTTCCTCAGAGGCTGGTTCACCCTCCTTTGTTTTTTCTCCCTCAGCAGGCTTCTCACCCTATGTCATAAATGAAATAATGATCAACTTGCAACTAAATATTTGTTCAAAGTCCACAATCATCTCGTGATGTTTTAATTTATGTTGTTTGATCAACTGAATACAGTCCGACCCCGGTTATTCGACAACCCTTTATTCGAATACCCGGCATTATCCGAAGTAGATCGGCGGTCCCGTTTTTATCTCTATATAATCAATATATATACGAGCGTATTATTCGAAATGCATTATCCGAATACCTCCTATTTTTCGAAGTAAAATTTCGGTCCCGATTTTACAATTATGAAAGAATTTCACACCTTTTATTCGAAGCCAGTCTAATTATTAATCGAAGCCAGACTAATTGGGGCAAATCCACTGGCTGACCGGTCGACTTGTGAAAAATATCAACAGTCATGCGTGTATTTAGACAATCATGATAATAACTCTTTGTGTGTTCTTTAATCAACTTTAATTGCCGAAAATGAAAATCAATGCACCGTGTCCGATTTTTTACTGTTATTGCTTGAAGATGACAGCAACAATTTTCATACATACCGTATATGTAAATTTGTCAAAACATCCAAAACATTTTTTTTCATTAATTGTAACGCTACGTGAGAGCCTTTATCCTAATCCAAAATACCAGAGTTAAATACCGTAGTGTCAACATGGCCATTATCAAGGCTTTGCGCGAAACGAAACGATACATAATGTAGAATAATATGCAAGTATTTATGTCTTTAATGTCAATACAATAATTTTTTTCGCATTTTTTCTTTAATATCTATTTTTCTCAAATGATTGGTCAAAGTGGTGTAGTTTTCGTCTATCACAATATTCCGATTTCGATTATTTGAACCCGTCAATTTTTCGAAGTAAATATTCAGTCCCAGACACTTCGAATAAATGGGGTTGGACTGTACTAGTTTTGCTTAATAGAATTTGCTGTCAGTTATTGGTAGAATATTTCTTTTTATTTCACATCTTACAAAACCAATGAACTTCATGTGTTTGAACCATGTGATCTCCCAATTTACATCATTCTTGGATCTAATCATATCAATTTTGCCCCATCTTTTTCTGCGTCCAAAAATATCCATATCAAATCAATACTGTACTCAATCTGGCCTCATTTTCATTTTCAGAGTAAAAAAATCCATTTCAATCCATACAATTAAGCTAGCCCCTCATCTTATATAGGTTTGGCAATTGTGTTCTCATACAAAAGAATTCAGTATTGTACTATATTATGCATATCTTCATAAAAATCATATATTGAAAAGAATACAGTTTCAATGAAAATCTTGATAAGGCAGTTGGTGCATACAGGAATACATAGCTACAAGTAATCTACTAAAACAGCAGCTGAATATCAAGTTAAGTAGAGAATTTTTTCTGATTTCTTTTATATTTCACAAAACTCACTCCAGATGTAATCTTCAGAATATGAAAACAATCTGATCGCACAAGTTTTGAAATTTCAATAATTTCTTTCACCAATTAAAACATTAAATCTTGTATATATTGATTTATCAGTACCTCTTTCTTATCTGTATCTTCAGGCTTCTTCAACTTTTCTTGATCTACATATTCCTGATCATGCTGAACAAGGGACACCTGTTTTGTTTCCTTCTTCTCAATGTCTGAGGGTTTTGGTGGGAACAGGGAGTCCACAGGCTCGCCCATCAGCTTACTTGTCAATATCTTAGCTGTCTTAATCCAGTCATCACATTCATGCTGTAATAGGAATACACATGATACAGGCTATAATACCTGATGGAGAGAAATTGATTGTATAAGATTTAAAGAAGCCTTAAAATAAAGTAGTATCAAATGAAAGGGACTGCTTTCTAAGCTTTTAATATGAACTAATCCATAACTAATTCTGAAACAACTAAGGTTAAGACCAACAGTGTCTCTGTTTTATATACTAATGGAGGGAAATTAATGGGGTAATATTTAAAGAAAAGTTACAATTAAGTACTATCAACAAACAGAGAATCATAAATATTTGTAAGCTTTTAATATGAACTGATTTGCAATTTATCACTCTATTGTTTGATTGTATTGTTGTACTTTGTATTTTGAGCCTAAGGTCTATATTACTAGAAATAAACTGAAACTGATCCAAATCTAATTTCTAAAAACTTCCAAGGGCTCCAACAGTGTCTCTGTTTTATGTTCAGATTTATCAAAATGTAAACCTTGTCTAAAAATAGGCTTCCTAAGTAGTAAGAAAAAAAAATACTAAACGAAAATTGGTCTATTAAGATAAATTTCACTTTCCAGAAATATTAACATACCTTCTTTTGTGTTTCAATTTTTTTCAACACACATTGGACGGAAAAAAAAAATATATTCAGATAAATTTCACTTTCAAGAAATAATGACAGACTATCTTTTGTATTTCAAACTTTTTCAACACACAATGCACAATGTACACATATGTGCAACTGTTTTAAACTAGAACTGCCACTGTCATGGCGTGAATACCACCGCATACCACTTTGTCAGAATCAACAGTGGCCATTTAGAGCTCAAGGACAATGTCCCTGCCAAATCTGAGGTTACTAAGCCAGTGCTATGTATTCTACATGCTTCAAATGTCAAAATCAATAAACTGCGGACAGTCTTTTCTTAAGCAATTGAGGGGAAAAGCTTTTTTTAGCGGACCTTTGACCAAGTGACCCTCAAAATCAATAGGGGTCACCGTATAGTCATGATCAACCTCCATGCCAAATATGAGGACTGTGGGTCAAAGGAATATTAAGTAAATGGGTGGACAATCTTTTTGAAGTCAAAGTCCATGTGACCGTGATCTTTGACCCAGTGACCTTAAAATAAATAGGGGTGACCTACTAATCATGACTAACCTCCATGCCAAATATGAAGACTGTGTGTCAAAGGAATCTTAAGTTATTCAGCAGACAAGCTTTTTTAGTCAAGGCCCCTGTGACCTTGACCTTTGACCCAGTGTAATAAAAATAAATAGGGGTCATCTACTTATCATGACTAACCTCCATGCCAAATATGAAGACTGTGGGTCAAAGGTTTCTTAAGTTATTGGGCCGACAAACTATTTGAAATCAAGGCCCCTGTGACCTTGACCTTTGACCCAGTGACCTCAAAATCAAAAGGGATCATCTACTAATCATGACTAACCTCCATGCGAAATATGAAGACTGTGGGTCAAAAGAATCTTAAGTTATTGGGCAGACAAGCTTTTTATAGTTAAGGCCCTTGTGACCTTGACCTTTGATCCAGTCAACTTAAAATCAATAGGGGTTATCTACTAATCATGACTAACCTCCATGCCAAATATAAAGACTGTGGATCAAAGGTTTCTTAATTTATTGGGCGGACAAACTTTTTAAAGTCAAAGTCCCTGTGACCTTGACCCGGTGACCTCAAAATCAATAGGGGTCATCTACCAATCATGACTAACCTATATGCAAAATATGAAGACTGTGGGTCCAAGGAATCTTAAGTTATTGGGCTGACAAGCTTTTTGAACTCAAGGCCCCTGTGACCTTGACCTTTGACCTGGTGACCTCAAAATCAATCGGGGTTATCTACTCGTCATGACTAACCTCCATGCCAAATATGAAGACTGTGGGTCAAAGGAATCTTAAGTTATTGAACGGACAAGCTTTTTGCAGTCAAGTCCCCTGGGACCTTGACCTTTGACCTGGTGACCTCAAAATCAATAGGGGTCATCTACTCATCATGACTAACCTCCATGCCAAATATGAAGACTGTGGGTCAAAGGAATCTTAAGTTATTAGGCGGACAAGCTTTTTGAAGTCAAGGCCCCTGTGACCTTGACCTTTGACCTGGTGACCTCAAAATCAATAGGGGTAATCTACTCGTCATGACTAACCTCCATGCTAAATATGAAGACTGTGGGTCAAAGGAATCTTAAGTTATTGGGCGGACAAGCTTTTTGAAGTCAAGGCCCCTGTGACCTTGACCTTTGATCCAGTCAACTTAAAATCAATAGGGGTTATCTACTAATCACGACTAACCTCCATGCCAAATATAAACACTGTGGATCAAAGGTTTCTTAATTTATTGGGCGGACAAACTTTTTAAAGTCAAAGTCCCTGTGACCTTGACCCAGTGACCTCAAAATCAATAGGGGTCATCTACCAATCATGACTAACCTATATGCAAAATATGAAGACTGTGGGTCCAAGGAATCTTAAGTTATTGGGCTGACAAGCTTTTTGAACTCAAGGCCCCTGTGACCTTGACCTTTGACCTGGTGACCTCAAAATCAAAAGGGGTTATCTACTCATCATGACTAACCTCCATGCCAAATATGAAGACTGTGGGTCAAAGGAATCTTAAGTTATTGGGCGGACAAGCTTTGTGCAGTCAAGGCCCCCTGTGACCTTGACCTTTGACCTGGTGACCTCAAAATCAATAGGGGTCATCTACTTGTCATGACTAACCTCCATGCCAAATATGAAGACTGTGGGTCAAAGGAATCTTAAGTTATTCGGCGGACAAGCTTTTTGAAGTCAAGGCCCCTGTGACCTTGACCTTTGACCTGGTGACCTCAAAATCAAAAGGGGTAATCTACTCGTCATGACTAACCCTATGCCAAATATGAAGACTGTGGGTCAAAGGAATCTTAAGTTATTGGGCGGACAAGCTTTTTGAAGACAAGGTCCCTGTGACCTTGACCTTTGACCTCAAAATCAATAGGGGTCATCTATTCGTCATGACTAACCTCCATGCCTAATATGAAGACTGTGGGTCAAAGGAATCTTAAGTTATTGGGCGGACAAGCTTTTTGAATGCAAGGCCCCTGTGACCTTGACCTTTGACCTAGTGACCTCAAAATCAATAGGGGTCATCTACTTGTCATGACTAACCTCCATGCCAAATATGAAGACTGTGGGTCAAAGGAATCTTTAGATATTGGGCGGACAAGCTTTATGAAGACAAGGCCCCTGTGACCTTGACCTTTGACCTGGTGACCTCAAAGTCAATAGGGGTCATCTACTAGTCATGACTAACCTCCATGCCAAATATGAAGACTGTGGGTCAAAGGAATCTTAAGTTATTGGGCGGACAAGAAAAAACCGACGGACGCCTGACGGCCGGGCGGACAAGCATATTCCAGTTATATTCCCTTACAACTTTGTTGTGCGGGGGTATAATAAGTTCATAATTTCAGAGTCATTGATATAAGAGTCTTTATTTTTTCTAAATAATAAACAGTAGCTGAACTGTGCTCTGGTTAATTCAATGTGGCTTATTGTTGTGATCTGGATGGTAAAACTACCACCACCATAAATAAATAAACATGAAATTTATCTTATTTTAAGACTACCTTTAATCTTTGTAAATCTTTCAGTTCGTGGTCAGCATTCTCTTCCATCAGATCTCTCCTCATTTGTGTGTTGTCCATTACTATACCATTACAACATCTTTACATGGAACAAATAATATCATATAACTTATATGGTAATTGATGAAACATGTATGGAAAAAAAGCATACAAAGAAAAAAATTAAGCATACTGGTATATGAAAAATCATAAGATAATAAACATATATGAAAAATGATAAAACATTAGAAAGAAGAAAAAAACATATAAATTTAAGTCTAAGAAAAAACATACATGGAAAACATAACCTAAAACATATAGACTGGCAAAGAGTTAAACTTATATTAAAGAAAATAATAACAACCTATTTGACTTTATTGACTTTATGTAAAAACTTACTGGCAAATGACTTTTCTAAAATCATCTTCCACAATTTCCTAAATTGCCTTTTCTTAAAAAAAATCTTTCAATGGAAAAAATAATATGTTAACTTATATGAATATTGATGAAACATGTATGGAAACAAGAGCTGTCGGTAGGACAGCAACGCTCGACTATTCTTAGTGCTTGATAGTAAAAAAAATGCTTGATAGAGTTACCTCCTCCTGTCTACAGGTTGGGGTCATGATGGTGAACAAGTGTGCAAAGTTTCAAAGCCATATGTCAATGGACTTTGAAAATATTTGAACTATTACAAAAACTTTAACGTAAATTCTAAGTCGAAAAAGGGGCTTAATTCTGTCAAAATGCTTGATAGAGTTATCTCCTACTGTTTACAGATTGGGGTCATGATGTTGAACAAGTGTGCAAAGTTTCAAAGCCATATGTCAATGGACTTTGAAAATATTTGAACTATTACAAAAACTTTAACGTAAATTCTAAGTCGAAAAAGGGGCATAATTCTGTCAAAATGCTTGATAGAGTTACCTCCTCCTGTCTACAGGTTGGGGTCATGATGGTGAACAAGTGTGCAAAGTTTCAAAGCCATATGTCAATGGACTTTGAAAATATTTGAACTATTACAAAAACTTTAACGTAAATTTTAAGTCGAAAAAGGGGCATAATTCTGTCAAAATGCTTGATAGAGTTACCTCCTCCTGTCTACAGGTTGGGGTCATGATGGTGAACAAGTGTGCAAAGTTTCAAAGCCATATGTCAATGGACTTTGAAAATATTTGAACTATTACAAAAACTTTAACGTAAATTCTAAGTCGAAAAAGGGGCATAATTCTGTCAAAATGCTTGATAGAGTTACCTCCTCCTGTCTACAGGTTGGGGTTATGATGGTGAACAAGTGTGCAAAGTTTCAAAGCCATATGTCAATGGACTTTGAAAATATTTGAACTATTACAAAAACTTTAACATAAGTGGTTACGCCGACGCCAACGCTCGGGTGACTGCAATAGCTCTACTTATTCTTATCGAATAGTCGAGCTAAAAAGCATACATGTTTGACTGTATATTGTCATCATCTCATAAAAACGATTTTACATAACAGATAGATTCGGTAATATAACGTTATATATAAATGGTATAAAATAAGTTTAATTTCATTTTCATACCCTAAAAGGGAAGAAAAAAAACAACAAGAAATAAATATAAACAAAAACTCATTCTCACAAGCAAACAGTCTGTGAAATATAACTAAATTTTCATATAAAAGCAAATAAATCAAATACAACATTAAACTATAAGGATGTATTTTACAACATCTTACAACATGTCCCAAAAATATTTATCAGAGTTGGAAAGTTCAAGTTGAGCTTTACAAGTAATAACAGACCTGTTGGGGAAGAAAAGACATCACATGTAACAATATGATATAACTACAGGATACACAATATTCTTTAACTAGTTTATTGTTTGTTTTCCCCGGGTTTTATGTTGATATTTACACATTTTTGGCCACATCTCGACAGGTGATCCGCCTAACTGACTTTCCTGGATAATTAACCAGTAATTACCAATTTCTCTACTTATTAACCAGTAATTACCAATTTCTCCACAAATTGACCAGTAATTACCAATTTCTCCACGAACTGACCAGTAATTACAAAATTTCTCCACTTTATTAACCAGTAATTACCAATTTCTCCACAAGTGACTGACTACATTATCCCACATGATTTATGAACGGTGGGTGAGAGACAAATGCCCATTAAACTCAATGTCCCAGATCAATTGCCATGAAGAAATTACACCTTGTCTGAGGATCAAACCAGTGACCCCCCTCATTACTTATCAAAATTAATGCTCTTCATATAAAGCAAAGCAGGCAGGCAATTATTGACATAAACTAAGGCACAATAAGAGTTATGTTTCTTTGTAATGCAACAGGGTACATTAACAATCTTGACATTCCTTTCTAATTGGTATGCAACTTAATGTTATTTTTACATGATTCATACCAGTAAGTCTTTTGCAAGGTTCTTATCTACACAAAAACATATTATGTTTATCGCAGCAGGATATATATTTTTGTATAATGGATAATTATATACAAGTAAAGATATTTTTACACAATGCTGTATGTAGTTCATATTATTGATTTGCAAAAGGATGTTTTAAATTCAACAGTCTAAATATGTTACATATTAATTCATCAACCAGCTGGGTAAATGACATAACAATATAATGAGCTAACAACATTTCTAAGTTGGGTTTTACATAGATCTTAATGTTGTTATTTCAAATAGCTATAGAGAACATGAAAAGTCAATCTACTCACTGGACAACATAGCTTGAGAACATTTGAAGCTGTTCAAACAGTGATTTAGCATTCTGATGAAGTTGGGTAACTGTTGCACTACCCAATAATGCCATTTCTCCTGCCTCCTTAGAGTTACCTTCCTTGTTTGGTGCCAGACGTAGCAACACTTGAACCATCCAACGTATCATCTCTGAGTGTAAGGTTGTAACCTGAAGATAAAATTAAATAACGGGTAATCTTTGAGCACTGGTTTCTTGTCACTAGTTTCCTCTCAAAATTAAATATTTAAAAGGTGGAAGGTTTTTTTGTTCTATTTTCAAATTTGTAATTAGGTTGTATAATTAATTGTGTTTGAATCAGGTAAATTGGTTCATATGAAATAAAAAGAGGTGCACATCACAAAGTGTACATGTTCCTTCATTACAAAACTCAAAAGAGAGTTTATAAATTATAAGCAAGTCTTCAAATTAAGTAAGATCAAAAGAAAAACTTTTATAAATGTTAAATATTTATGATGAAATCTGCTTAACAACAAATTACCTGTTCCACAAGTTTACCATCTTCACTGTCAACAGCATTGGTTGCCGTGGTTACCCACTTTTGAACTTTCCTGATGACATCATTTACTTCCACTCTGAAAATATTTCAATCAAAATTAATTTTTCATTTTTTTGCTTTACTTTAAAATTATCAATATTAAAGTAGTGATACCAACACAAAATCAGTTGACAAAAGGAAATTAATATTTTCAATTATGCTTCTTCTTTAAATATTTTTTTATGTAAAATGAGTTCACAAACATAAAGTTAAAGATAGCCAAATTAAAGAAGTCAAATCACTTTTAACTTATTTTAGAACAATCTTTAAAGAATCTTCCACCATTTAGAAATCATAATTGATAATTTTGATATTGTAATACAAATATCAATGCAGCTGCTTTTTATTTCTGTTTTAAAGATATTGATAATATAATGTCCATAATTATGTAAAATCAAACCAAACTCAAAGTTTAAAAGTGCAACAAAGACAAAGTTTGATCTGGAAACTGAAAAATTACAATGTATAATATATTTTTTAAATACATTTCAAATTCAGGTAAGCTAACATTTAATAATAATAATAATAATAACAATAACAATAACAACAACAACAACAACAATAATTATAACAATAATAACAAGAGCTGGTTGAACCGGGTGATGCTCCCCGAATAGGTTTTGGACACAGGAAGGTATACATCTTGTTGTGTCAGAGTTATGTCACAGACAAAGTTCAAAGTGTAAAAACAACCCAAATATTGTGCACGACACATTGTCTCAATATGGTGATCATTTTTGTGAAATAGTTGTAAAATCCGACTTCAAATAACAAAGTTATGCGCCGGACATGATTTTGCTGCAAGGTCATGCTGTGAACTTGACCTTCAAGGTAGCGACCCAAATAATGCATGCGACACGTCGATTCAATATGGTGATCATCTCTGTGAAATAGTTGTTAAATCCGACTTCCAGTAACGAAGTTATGGGCCTGACACGATTTTGCTGCAAGGTCATGCTGTGACCTTGACCTTCAAGGTAGCGACCCAAATGTTGCGCGCGACACAATGTCTCATTGTGGTGATCATTTCTGTGAAATAGTTGTAAAATCCGACTTCAAATAATGAAGTAATGTGCCGGACACAATTTTGCTGCAAGGTCATGCTGTGACCTTGACCTTCAAGGTAGCGAGCTAAATGTTGCGCGCAACATGCCATTTTAATATGGTGATCATTTCTGTGAAATAGTTTAAAAATCTGACTTCAAATAAGGAAGTTATGGGACGGACACGATTTTGCTTCAAGGTCATGCTGTGACCTTGACCTTCAAGGTAGCGACCCAAATGTTGTGCGTGACACGTCATCTTAATATGATGATCATTTCTGTGAAATACTTTTTAAATCCAACTCCAAACAGCGAAGTTATGGGCCGGACACGATTTTGCTGCAAGGTCATGCTGTGACCTTGACCTTCAAGGTAGCGACCCAAATGTTGCGCACGACACATCGTCTCAATATGGTGATCATTTTTGTGAAATATTTTTAAAATCCGACTTCAAATAATGAAGTTATGGACCGGACACGATTTTGCTGCAAGGTCATGCTGTGACCTTGACCTTCAAGGTAGCATTGACCTTCAAGGTAGCAACCCAAATGTTGCACGCGACACGTCGTCTCAATATGGTGATCATTTCTGTGAAAAAGTTTTAAAATCCGACTTCAAATAAAGTTATGGGCCAGACACGAATTCGGGACGTACGTACGGACGGACGGACGGACAACCCGACGACTATATGCTCCCCTGAAATTTTTCGGGGAGCATAATAATACATGTTATAATAATGATAACAAGGAACATCGCAATGCGATGCAACCAGGTTTTCAGCAAAATATTTCACAGAAGCTTTGTCATGAAGGGGCATTTGTTTTTAATTGAACTTTTAGGAGGAATTATGGCTTTTTTAATATTCCTCAAACAAAAATGATTGAGAAATTTTATGTTGTCTATTCGCCTTTTTTTCCCAAATATTTTAGAAAGGTAAACAGTACTTTATTTTGCTTAATTTTTGCGTCTCTTGTCATTTTCTTTTGTCAACAATATTGGCGTGTGGTGTTTTGTGCGATATCAATTAAAGTATGTTCACAATTTTAAAAAAATACTTGAATGATGTCTTGGAATTTAGTGAGCGCCAGGGCACTTGATGACAAAGCTTCTGTGAAAGTTTGGTCAAAATCCATTGAGAAATGTAGGAGAAGTTGCGCACTGTAGAAATTGTTCACTATATATTCTGTATAAGGAAAAAATATACAAAGGGCCATAATTCGGTCAAATATTATCCAATCACAAAACCCCGACAATATGTGCCAGGCACTTGATAACAAAGCTTCTAAGAAAGTTTGTTCAAAATCCATTGAGAAATGTAGGAGGAGTTGAGCACAGAAGAAATTGTTCTCTATATATTCTGTATAAGGAAAAAATATACAAAGGGCCATAATTCGGTAAAATATTATCCAATCACAAAACCCCGACAATATGTGCCAGGCACTTGATAACAAAGCTTCTAAGAAAGTTTGGTCAAAATCCGTTGAGAAATGTAGGAGGAGTTGCGCACAGAAGAAATTGTTCACTATATATTCTATATAAGGAAAAAAAACAAAGGGCCATAATTAGGTCAAATTTATACCAATTGCAAAACCCTGGCAATATGTGACAGGGCACTTGATGACAAAGCTTCTGAGAAAGTTTGGTCAAAATCCGTTGAGAAATGTAGGAGGAGTTGCGCACAGAAGAAATTGTTCACTATATATTTTATATAAGGAAAAAAAACAAAGGGCCATAATTAGGTCAAATATTATCTAATCGCAAAACCCCGACAATATGCGCCAGGGCACTTGATGACAAAGCTTCTGTGAAAAGTTTGGTCAAAATCCGTTGAGAAATGTAGGAGGAGTTGCGCACAGAAGAAATTGTTTACGCCCGCCCGTCCGCCCATCCGCCCGCCGCGCCCGCCCGCCGACATACCTCAATCTAATAACCAGTTTTTTCCTTCGGAAAACCTGGTTAATAATAATAATATAATACATGTAATAACACTAACAATGATGATAATAAAATAATAATTATAGTTTCTTTTTTGGTCATATTTAAGGTCACACCGCATATACGGACATTCCAGCTTTAAAAGTGAAGTAGTAAATCTATGACATCTCTCCATGTACTATGTGGGGCATGAGTTTAAACCTCAGTAGAACCACCAACCTCCAGTAAGCCAGCACCTTCACAAAAAAAGATTTAAAGTTCCTGAAGGATTTTGAACCAACAGCATTGTGTGACAAGTGATTCAAGAAAATAACAGACAAGGTCCCAAAATGACAATGTACATATATTAATAATCTTACAAAAAGTGTAATAATAATCATTAAACTACCTAAATGGATTAACTATTCTAGTTAAATATGGGGGGTAATTTTAAAACTAACTTGAGAATAAAAATTATTTCATACAATGTATATAGTTTGAAGGAATGCTAACTAACTCAAACTTGAGAATTTTTATTTGAAACTTCTGGATATATGGATTAAAGTTTCAAATAATGAATATAAAGAAAAGTAAAATTACCATGCATGAAACATAATTCATCAGGAATCATTTCAGATCATTAAAACCTTATATTTATTAACATTTTGTAATATATAAATTCTAACATGCTTCACACTATTCCCATATCAAACAGACAGGACAATCAAGTGCATTATTACACGATAGATGCACAGAATGAAAAACGATCTGCCTTCGTGATTATATTCCTGCACATTTGCATTATTCTACAACAGTGCCCACAAATTGATACCTATTTCCTAATGAAACTGAAAGGAGCATTTGCCTTTTAATGGAAAAAGCAGCTAAATTTCATTACAGTACAGACACAGATTTTTCCTCAACTTACTCACTTTATCACTCTCAAAGTAAAAAGGCTGCTTAAAAATGAAACAGTCACAAGACCTTGTATAGATATCTTACAAGTCTCATAAATGTTATATAACTAATAACTATAAAGAATAATAATTATATACATAGAACTGTAAACTAACTAGGGGGTATACAAAGTGATTACCGTACCCTAGCAACCATCCTTGGCGCTTTGACCTGATTTAATATAGCAATTTATAAAATATATTAGTGCCACATCACAACAAATTTATAACTAGCGTGATCAAATAGTCAAGATGGTCTGTATCAAAACACTTCCTCAACCAATGTGTATTAAAAGGCTTAATTTACCCTCGCTACAAGAATAAACGTTAGGGGCAAGCATTAATTTTGCTAACCTGTGCCTGGGGGCATGAGGGATTGCTGCATTTTTTCATTATCCCTCATTTACGGACTCAAATCAAACCAAACCTGCAATTTTCATGTAATTTTGCTGCTTTTAATGCTTCCAAGGGATCACTTTTTTTCAGATATTTACTCAATTTTATATACTTGGTTCAAGTTATGATTAAGTTACTAGTATACATAACATTTTTTTCTGATTGGTTTAATAGCCTCTGAAAAAAATGCAAGTGACCAATCAACAATAAAATTTTTTGAAAAATATCTCAAAGCCTCAAACCCAAAGCAGATGATAGGAAGTCTTTTGATACAGATGAAAATGTGTAGTTAGCAAATAAAACACATAAACAAAAGAAGCTGCTGCAATTAACTTTAAATACATTGTCACTCATGAAAAGAGCTTTCAAAATTGAACTTTCATATAAAATGTGTTAAAAACACACTATGCTATGAAATAACCTTTTTGTAATTGCAGCAACTTTTATGATTAGCTAGCACAACAAATAGGAACTTATTGTAACACGCTGCAAATTAAAGGGGAAATCACTCTCTGTACAAAACAGGGAAATCACACTTTTTCAGAACAAAAAGGTTACATTTCAGTTTTCATCATAAAATCAGCAATATAAAAAATCATGTTTCATGAATACAAAAAAAGAAGTCAAAACACCTATAGGTACAGTCAGGTGCAGAAATTATCCAATAAGATGGAGTTATCATAAGAGAATTTCAATTTGAAACATGTACATGTATTTAACTTGAGTGGACTTTAGTCCAGCAAGACACCAGTGAAAATATGGATAATATAATTCACTGCAGTGAAAGATTATCTTTTTGCAGTGAAAATGAGGAAAATGAAAATACAATTTTTTTTTCACCAATATTTCTCAATATTTCATTTATAAGTACATAATAAAGCTAAATATTGTAGAGATAAATAATAATCATATTTATATTGATTTTAGTTGGAGCCTAGGTAATCTTGTGTTACATTAAATTCTTGTCATGTTCTCAGAGATTAATAAAACCAAATGAGCCATGACAAAACCAATATAGTACCTTTGCGACCAGCATGGATCCAGACCAGCCTGCGCATCCGCGCAGTCTGATCAGGATCCATGCTGTTCGCTGTCAGTTTCTCTACTTGTAAGAGTTGGTAAGCGAACAGCATGGATCCTGATCAGACTGCGCGGATGCGCAGGCTGGTCTGGATCCATGCTGGTCGCAAACCCATTATGTTGGTTTTGTTGTGACACAGCTCAAATTTGGAATTTTGTAATTTCACAATGCAGCTAACATGAAAAGATATGTTAATATGACATATAAGAGAATGCAAACTATTGAAATTTAATAAAATTCTATTAAAAATTGTTAAGTAGTTTAAGAAATTGGTATAATTAACTTTATCAAGTATATTACATGAGATAAAGAGAAAATGTCAGAGAAAAGTTAAAATGAAAAAACAAACAATAAAAAAAACATAAGAAAGAGATACCCTTAATAGCCCCAAACACAAAGAATGAAATTAATTTGTTTATTGAAACTTCAGTATCTAAGAATCAAGAATCCAAAACAGCAGGAGCACAGTAAATCTGCATACTATTATCAAAAGAAATAATTAAAAGAAAATTTTTGTAAATTAGACTAAAACCCAAACTATTATAGACATCATGCACATTAAAGTAAAACTGTTCAAGCCCGCCCCCTCCCCCAACCCCTTTTTTCTAATCTAACACTCATTAGCCAAGCAAATATAAGCCATGTATCAGCCTAATAAAGATTTTACCTAAATGCCAAGTAAAAAAAAAACTTAGGGTGTAAGGGGTCAAACCTACAGCTTTGTATTCTATTGGTGATTATAATTGACATTATGCAACCATTAAAAACAGGTAGTCTGTCCATACAATGAAATGTCACCAGACTCATCATTTAAGTGTTTCATGTTCAAAAACAAAATGACAAATTTAGTAGTGTATGGTTAAAGCATAGTGTTTTACAGAAAAAACTTCAGCAGCAATTTAATATATTACTGGTACAAGCTTCATAAAATAAACACTTTATCATTCATTCTTTGAGTTATGTCTTTTTAACTTTTTTGAAAACATCAAATACAATTTTTAAGGAATAAAAATTATTAAATGTTAATTTTTTTCATTCATGCTTTAGAAAAATGTTATCTGAAAAATCAAAACTAAACCTTTCCATAGTGCTGAAAAGATGTAAAGCAAAATACTTAATCAAACATGCCCCTTCATAAGATTTTTTTTTTTCAAGACTTTTTTTCTGTCAGACACCATATTTGTCATATTTCAATTTTTCATTTTGTTTCATTTCAATTCTTAATTTTTGAGTGTCACAGTTTACATACTTTGATATTTATTGATTGAAAAATGAACAAAGTTGCTCACCCCTGTTCGAATTTAATACATATTCACACATATTTATCAAGTGCACTCCTAATTCTCTTCAGCCCTATTTTATCCTGTTAGTGATTTTACTTTAGCTATTGAAGAATATAAATTTTGTTAAAGGTGATATCATTGGTCGAGATTAGTTTTTACATTCTTTACACTAAAGAGAATTCTCACTACTTCAACAACTTTCTAAGAATTTTCAAATAATCTATTACGAGAGTCAGTACAAATTACTGCTGATTTAAATGTAAAATTGAGAACCTGTCTTATAATTGACCAGTCTTATGGCTGAGTAAATATAGAAGTTAAAATTTTTAAGTACAAAATGAACTGAAGTTCTAGGAATTTTATTTTGTTCATGGAAAATAAATGAATTTCTATCTTAATGATCTATTTTGTATATTTATAATGCAAAATTCCTATTCCAAAAACTTTAATAGAAATTAAAAAAAAAACAATGACAAAAAAACACACATAGTCAACAGGGATATAAACTATGAAAGCTAAAAAATATAAAAGATAATGACCAAAAATTGCAATTCAACACAAAATATAATAAGTAAAATAAGGCATGCAATTCTGATATATAACTTTAGCAAACTTTTTTTCTTTCATAAAAAAAAATGAAAATAAGCTAGAACTATAATATTATTTTAAACTATATAGCATCAGCGGCCAAAATAAAAACTGGCATGCATTCTTGCTACAATAACTTTATAAAATATAATTCTGTGTTTACCAACCACACACCAGCATTCATGTACATATTGCTGTAATAAACTTTAATATACAAATTACTTATAAAAAAACAGGTTAAAGATCATGATAAATGTCAAAAGTATAAAATCTAGATGTTCAATGAATGTTTGGGAAATTCTATCTATAAGAAGTAAGTCAAAATGTTGGTCTTGGGATAATAAAGAGGATAGAATTTTCTCATACAAATGGGATGAAATTTAAATACTTCATCTTTGATGAAATAAATGAAGAGGAAAATGTTTGAGTTGGTTGGTGAGTAATTAAATGGATGGGTGTATCAATGTATGGATGGGTCAATGGTGGATGGATGGCTTTATTGATGAACATATGGACGACAAATGGTTCAGAATGAAAAAACAACCAAACTGGAACAAACAGACAAAAGTTATGAATGAACGAGTTTTTTCTATTTTTTAATAACCAAATATTTCAATGTTATTTTTTCACAAAGTTAATATTCTTGCATTGTGATTGATTTTAGTTTCAGACTTTAATCTCACTAACTAATCTTGATTTCTTTCCACAAATGATATATCATTTTTATTTTCAAGAAAAAATAAACATCATGATAATCTTATAAACATAACAATAATATTTTCTAAAGGTTTGAAGGAGAAAGAAGGTGAAGGTGGATGGGGGTATATTTTTGATAGTGAACAAAGTGACAAAATGTGCATCTATTGACCAAAAACATAGTGTGCATGGAAGATTGGTTAAGACACGAGGGGTGAGTAAATGCTGCTAAATCAAATGTGCAAATTGGCTATACCTCATTATTAATATATATAAAATGTAATTTTACCAGTATGTGAAGTAAGTAATAGTGCAAAAAGTTCTTTTTCAGACTTTTTCGATATAAATAACCAACAAAACATTTATTGAATACATAACTAACAAAAAATATTTTATTTGATACATAACTCACCCACAAAAAGACCATTTTTAAGATTTAATGGTGTCAGGCTTGCAAAACAATCCTAAGACTGTGGCTTTCATGACAGGCTAATAGAATGAATAAAATTTCCATGTATACTTCTTTTATACTTCAGAAATCATTCAAATCAATTATCTAATGATTTTCAAAACTTACAGGCTTGTATAACTTGCACATTTAATAAGCAATCACATATTACACACATATATGAAATGGGTGATCAGATGTTAGAATTTAGACAAAACCCACAATAAAGTTTTAGAAAAAAAAACACCATCGTTTGTTAGTACATGAAACTTTTCACCAGCAATTATGCATGGCTACCTGGTGTGTGCTCGATTTTCTACTCGTTCATCCTCCCTCTGGGTGGAGCCTACATACTCAACAGCCTCCTCTATTGATGTAAGCCACTCCTCCATGGTGAGAAGAAGTCCCGCCCACTCATTGTCATGAATAGGCATGGTTCCATTGATACTTGAAGTAATTTTCATGTCCCATGTCTCCATTCCGTTCATTAGATGTATAACATTGGTTGCAACTCCTATACAAATTTCAAATCAACAGATAATAATGCAAAGTATGTCCAAAACTTTGTATTCACATATGTTAATTTTATGAACATTCAATGTTTAAAATGGCGTATTAATTTACCATAAACCCTCAACTCACAAAAACTCAATCTCAACTCACATAAACTCAATCTATTAAACCTCATTTAAGTTGCCTGTACAATTTACATTGTAACACTTGCTTAATGACCATAAATGAGCCTTAAAAATGTAAATCAAACATCTTAATAATAAGAGTTTTTTACATGGTACATGTACCATTATCAAGACCTTGCAGAATTTAATCCATTTTGTAACAAAATAAAATTCTAATTTTAGCATGACTTCATTCAGGAATACACGTACATATTGTACATACCATTTTCTCCAGTAATCCTTGTGTTGAACTGATGGAGAAGTTTATCCACTTCCTACAAAGAAAATTAAAGATTGTAAATTCTATGCTGATAAATGTATCAAAACAAGAGAGCCATAGTGACCCTTGATGACCGACCTTAGAACCATTGCTACCTCAGAATAGAAAAGTAAGTGATCTAGGTAATCTAAGGTCAAATTTTGATTTCATCATTAAGTGTGTGCCAGTGGTCATTATATGAAGATTAAAGGTATTAATTTCAAACTTCCAAAAACAAAGTATCTGCATAACTTAGAAGTCTAAGTACAGAAAATATTCAATTTATTTGCTTAAAATGTCTTCATTGCACTTCTGTAACATAGCATACATTTCTTTTAAAGGATATTATAAATGGTCAACCTGAAACCTGATCAGTTAAAATGAGGGTCATAAGTATGATTAATATATAAACAATAATTTCAGTTGATAACTGTCTTTTTTATATTTAACTTATAATTGATAATTCATTGGTTTTAAATGATAATTTAAATGATAATTATACCTCATTTAATGCCATCATATTGATTTGATCAGGATGTGTGTTCCCGTCACTTCCTCTGTGTCGACTAAAAACCAGCAGAGAATTATCTGTCCATCCTTCCATTTGCATCTTGATAAAGTGTAGCTGTTCCTGTCCATTCAATAACATATCCCCACCAAACTTCTCGGTCTCCTTACTAAGAAGCTGAAAAAAATTAAAAACTCTTCATTACTTTTTTTCTTACCTCACCTGGTCACAAAGTGCTCTGAGGTGATCTTTTGTGATCGCAGTGTTTTTTTTATATTTATCTGAATCATTCAGTTACAGAGAATTTTGTATAATTAGTTTGGTTATAATCATATGATTACAGTCTTGAAGGTGTTCAAAATTATAACATTTTCAATATACAACAGTGTAGCTTTTGAGGGCATGATATTTCGAGGAAGCTATGACAACCCGAGATGCCACCCCTAATATCCATTGCTAGATAAGGTCTTTATTCTTCAATGCAGAAGTAGGTAATTGGGTCAGTATTGGGAAAACCGCTTTAGAAAACAGATTCATGATTTATATAATTTAAGTAAATATCTACTTAGCCATGCTGCATGCCAAATATCGAAGCCCATCCAGTTTCACACAGAAAGATTTGAATCTACTCTACTAAGATTTAACACAAAACCTTAGAAATCAATCATCATTGATGATGTCACAATAGTTTGTGCTGAATAATTCTAGAAACAGAAACAACCTCAAAATTGTCTATTCTGTGTTTTTTGTTTGTTTGTTTATTTGTTTTGTTTTAATAAAATGTCCAATGATAAGATGGGAAACATGTACTATGGCCTTACCTCTTCCCACTTCCTCATTTCTTCCAGCAAACCTTTCTGTTCTTTCTCAGAGGGAGGTCTTACAAACTGACCATCTTCAGTGCTAAAATATACATCACAAATGTACATATAGGTAAAACATTCCATTATGGTTGCTTTCTATATGTTTGTTTTACATGTATGCCATTGCTACATTATTCAGCATTTAAGAGTACCTCTTATTCAACATCTGAAAATATTTTACATATATACATGTATTTTAGATTTTCTATTCTAACCTTATGCCACTGATTTGTTATATTTCTTAAAACATATCCAATACTATTATTATATTACACAGTGCTGCTATGTTATATAGTGTATAAATCTGATTCTCAATGAAACTTAAGCATTCTAACAAATATTCAGTATCTACATTTCTTTTCCATTTAATGTTACCTTTGTTTAAAAGAATATATGATAACATGTGAAATGAAATTGTTAAAAAAAAACAACAACAACAACAAAAAACAATTTAACAGAAAAAATCTAACAAATTTTGCCCAAATATAAACATCCAGAAAATATGGGCATTATCAGGGCACTTGATGATTGTTATTCAAATTTGGCTGAAATCCATTGCAAAATAAAGGAGTTGCATAAGAGATATAAGTCATGCCCATGCATCCACCAGCCTGCATACATTCTCAAATCTAATGAACTAGTTTTTCATTTGAAAAAATTATTGTTAAAACTAGACATGTGTCCATAGGATTTGGATATCTCGTACATTTTACATTGTGATTCTACAGATGTATAGTGTGACAGCAAGACAGCTGGATGTGTAGACAATGGCAAATATATATGCCCACATCCCCAACTATAAGTAGTGTGGGCATAAAAACTTGTAAATATTTTTAGAAATACTGATAGCAAGTAATAATACCAGATACTTTAAGATAATCATGCCATAGTGAAAGGGTTCTACATATTTCTGACGTGATCGATACCCAAAAATCTAATTAAGTGAAGAGAATAAACAAATGAATATAATTATATCACACCATGCATTATTGAGTATACTGATGTAATGTGAGCAAAACAGCCATAAAAACATTCATATAGCCAAATCAAAAATAAAGCTAGAGAAAAGAAAAGCGCTAAAGCAAGCTGAGGAATCAAACAAAGTAAACAAACAAATAATCTTTAACAGAAGTTGGCAAAATAATAAAATTCATAAAATGACCAACAATCTTTGATCATAGTATTTCAGCTAAAAAGATGTGTGAAAAAAGATAATATATGAAATAATCAACTTTCAACTTTTACCTCGTGACCTTCTTTTTGTTTTTTTTACTGGAAGGTCTATTGTTATTTTAGGCATTTTAATATTGTCATACATAAATCAAACATAAATTATGTCACCATAAATACAAAGTATTTGCATGCTGGCCTAGTAGTTTTATTGTGACGTAACAAAGTTATTATCAATAGCAATCATAAACTTGATATCAGACAATCATTCAGACAAAATTTCAACAATTAAGAAATTCAAATAGTAAATAGTGGTATAATATAGTGTTTGTGAACAAAATAGATTGTTTTTATTTGTTTGTTTGTTTGATTGAGTTCTATGTCACATTGACACAGTATAGGTCATATGGCGACATTCCTGCTTTACTGGTGGAAGAAGACCTCAGGTGCCCCTCTGTGCATTATTTCAGGCATGAACATGCACCTGAGTAGAACCACCGACATTCCATAAGCTAGCTGGATAGCTTCCTCGCATGAAATAATCTTAAGTCCCTGTCGGGATTCGAACCCACAGTGGTGAGGAGCAAGTGATTTGTTATTTAATTATCACCTTTCAAAATGATGTGAAAATTTCTATGATTAATATGGCATGAATATAATGATTTAAGAGTTATGCTCATCAAAAGACTGGCTGTCAAACGGATGCTTTCATAAGACCACTTTTCCAGTCGTAATTGTTTGTCACATGTACTATGTACCAGATAGAGTCTTTGTTACATCTATATGTTTTTTGATCAAAATTAGAATTGAAACTTTCAGACCATTAGAAACACCTATGAAGATAAAAAAGGTCTTTCTATTCTATTCTATCAATTTTTATGTGTACCACAACTTTCTTAAAGTAAAAAGGAAAACAGTGACTTATAATGCAAAACATATAATGTAAGAGAAAACTTTTTCACCTCATAATATTAAGGAAGTAGTGCTAGATCCCTGATTTACTGAACCCTTAACCTGCTATATTTATGTAATGCGTTTAATGGAACAGTCCATCTAATGTTTAAGAGATTTCAATGTCAAAATACAAAAACTGAGCTAACATGTCCAGGCTGGCCTGGCTCTCTACTGGTAGTGGTGGTAAAGGCTGATCAAGTATATTTTGGTTCCAGCAGATTAAAGGTTAAGATACGGTAACAATCATTGTGCATAAATCCTTCCAATATACCAGAATACCAAGAGTACCATAATAAACTCACAAACTATAGGTCTATTTTGAAATATGTGCATATAAAACTTTCTCCAATTGGTCAATTTTGAATCTGTGTATAAAACTATAAACCAATCAGCAGCTTTTGTTCAAGACTGGACTACAGTTTCAAATTTATTCTCTTGTTTAATCATTTATAGACCAATAAAAAAACTATGCTTCATGCAGGTGAGGATTTGTTCAGCATCACAATTTATGATCAAATCTTGTGTCAAATACTTACATAACTCGTTTTCTGGATTATAGAATGTCAAAACACAGGTCAAAATAAATTCTTTATAAAACTTTCAGTGCAAAAGAAATGAATAAACACAACAACAAAAAAATGCAGAAATGACAACAACATATAAGATGATGTACCATAGTAAAATCAACTCAAATTTGATTCAGAGATAAAGGGAAGCAACTTTGTAACTAAACTGAGACTAAAGCACTATTTACAGTCTATAAAAGGGGAAGCAACTTTGACAAACATTTTACAGATAATGTACAGAATCAGACAGAAAAGCGGGCATCACTCTGAAATTTAACACACAGACAACTCTAATATGAAGCTATTACCCTACGTCCAAGCTTACCTATATCTGGAGACCAAATTGATAAAATATACTGTATATCAATAATATAAAGTTCATCTATCTTTATAGAGATTCTATCATTTACTATCATTAACATTGTGAAGTTCACTTCTCAGCTAAGATATGTGTCTTGGACTTATAGAATTACAATATTGCAACTTTAGCTGATAATTTATCTGTTCTATGTATACAAATGTCTGACCATATCAAATTAAAAATTTATTGAAACAAAGCTATATTTCATGAAATAGAAAAATGTAAAAATATAAGTATTTAATCAGTACTGAACATAGTAAACATTATTTCTACTATTCCTTCTCTGAAAATTTAGTTGACCATTATTACAAAAAGAACCCTAGCCAAGCAGTTCTAGCAAAAGTTATACAAACTTGTTCAGACATACTAGCCTAATATTTTACAACTACATCAAAATAAGTAACAAATATTTTATAATTTATTTCTACATGAATCAGTATAAAGATAAAGTAATGTATTTTCATTTGAAAATTACTCATTTGGGCATTATTTATCAGATTATTTAACAGAATATTACTTTTTATTGTCCAACACAGAACAAATGTCTAGCAAGTAAAGATTATGAACAATGTACGGTAAGATTTTTTCTCTTCAGACAAGACTCGTACTTACAAGCATTTACGGAGTTCTTTCAACCATCTTTCAATGCCGGGAGCCAGTATCCTGAGTTGTTGTCTCATCTCCTCCTCCCTGTGTTTTAATGTTATACTAAATTCTTCTACCATATCACGCCATCTCTCAACAAATGTCTATAACAGAAATCAAATGAGCCGCGTAACGACAAAACCAACATAATGGGTTTGTGACCAGCATGAATCCAGACCAGCCTGCGCATCCACGAAGTCTGATCAGGATCCATACTGTTCGCTATCAGTTTCTCTACTTGTTATAGAGTATGTAAGTGAACAGCATGGATCCTGATCAGACTGCGCGGATGCGCAGGCTGGTCTGGATCCATGCTGGTCACAAACCCATTATGTTGGTTTTGTCATGACACGGCTCAAATATGTTAAATATTATCATAAATTTATATCTCATCTATAGATATGAATCTTACACAAGATTTTCATTCTAACTAAAATGCTTTGACTGATTTATTGAAATTAAGTGTTTTGACATAATGGTACTGGAGATCATTTTATCAAGATTTTTACACCCTCTGATGTGGTTCTCTTGCAAAGTTTCAGATCAATTGCTTACTCTGTTTTTCCAGAATTTCATTTTTATTGTGCAAAATGAGCTTTAAAAAACCCCTCTTAAATGCTTTTCACTGAAATCTTGCCAAAAATCTAATTAAATAAAAATTTTGAAATTAATTATTAATTTTGAATTTAATAATTAGCATATTTCTTTATCTTTTATATATTTTTCAGTTTTTAGTGCCCCAGTTAATCTATGTAAGATTTTCAAATTTTATGCTTTTAAGCTTTTGGACCTTAGTTTTAAGAGCTCATTTATATAGAAAACAGAACTATAAAAACTTGAAGTGTAACTGTACCTGTATTTTGGTAAGAAGATCTGTGTCTTTATCACTAAGCAGTATGGTAAAATGATGAGCCAACTTAGCCCAGGCTTTCTCATTCACATGTAAACGTTTAGCAGTGGTAAGTCCAGCTTCTTCTGTAACCTACATAAAAACATTATAAAATTGATACAGCACAATTAAATTTCACTCTATAGTGGCAACTTACAGTTACAACAAAATATTGAAAGAAATTTCAGCATTTGTGATTATTTGAAAAATTCGAGATGATGTTAACTTAGGATCATGCAGTCTAAATGAATAAAGTTTAAATATGTAATAAGACAAGTTTTAAATGTGTAAAATGCTTTTTATATCAACCAAAACAAATAATAGTGTAAAAACCATTAAAATGTTCTTGAGTGAGGGATGTTGCACGTATTCATTATCCCTCATGTACAGACTCAATCAAACCGAGTCTGCAATACTCTTGTTATTTTGTTGTGATTAATGCTTCCGAGGGATCACTTTGTTTCCAGATTCTTTGTTTAATAGAGGACATGTCTTTGCTATGTCATCATATTTTAATTATTTTCATGTTGTTTTCTTCACCTATTGTGTTATTGAATAAATAAATAAATATACATTTGTTTCATTTCAGCATACAAATAAGATCTTTTCTTTATCTTTCTAAATAACTAAAAAAAACCCCACAAAAAACCAAACATAACTGTTTCATAAATTCATCATAAGGTCACTATAATATAAATACCTTCATGGCAAGACAGTAAGCAGCGGTACTCCATATTTCTCGTTCATCAGTTAACATAAACACCTGTGACTCTAAACGTCTTCTCTGTAACTCATACAGCTCATGATACTCTGCCAGTAAACTAGCATTCTTCATTGCCTCTGTTAGAGCCGATTTTAGCTGCAATTAAAATACCCAGGGATTTGGCCAATATAGACTTACTCCAGAATTAAGTATATTTGAGTTTTCCCCAACTTATTCGGAGGGTTACAACAAACTTTTACAGTTACAGCTTTGAAATTAAAAGCAACAGGTTAACTTATCTATTGTGATTAATAGTGCACCATGAAGCTATAACAGTAAGAGCTTGTTTGTAAAGAGCGATTAGCATAGAAAAACCCACATTTGCTGAGTTCCGAATAACACCTAGTGTTTTTGCTGCCTTTTTTGTAAAATTAAATGAAGCCTGATGAAACATTTTTGTTCTCCCATTAATGATTTATGATTTCATGACATAGCTTAGTAGAATAATTTTATAACTGTGAATTCACTTAATTTTGTGAGCATGTTAATATACAACTAAATTGGTAAGACAGTGTGAACATGAATGTCAGTGTGACTCTCTACTGTTGACATAGACTAGCAATATATGCTACTTGTTATCTAAATGTACAAAAGTAAAGGTAAAATGTTCTTACATCTTCCTGAGCCTGGTGAGCTTCCTGTGTTACCTTCTTATCATGTTCCTTTACTTCTGACAGCTCACTGAAATACACATGTAATATTGCATAAGTTAAAGGCCCATTATGCCCAAGAAATGCATTTATTTTTATATCTCAAAAGATTTTCATTTTTGGTGTAGTGTCTCATTCATCAATTTTCTGCTTCTGTTGTCTTTTGGCAATTAGTAGATATATAGTGATTTAGTATTTTGTATGAAAGTAAAAATAAAAATACTTTGTTTACATTTTGCTGCTTTTATGACAAATAATTTCACATTAAACTCTCCTTTATTCATGTGAAAACAATCTAACATGCTTTTAAACCACTTTTAATAGGTTATAAAACTCATATTTGCCCCTTCTAAAGTATTAATATATTATTTATTTATGAGGCATACTGTGCTTTTAACTATCCTCATACGAAGTAAACCCCTAAAGTTGATTGTGCAAAGTTTAACCCAATGAATACACAGGGAACACAGAAATATCAATCTGGTTGTATGTTTTCTTTAAAGTAAAATTGAAAACTTTTTATCAGATAACATAAAGATAATATAATAAACCATTAATATAGTATAAACTTTCTACCAATCACTTTACAAATTGACCAATCAATCATTATATTTACGCATCAATCATTTTAGACAAGTTAGCTCAGTACCTTGTTAATACACTGATGGTTGATTTAAATCGCATAAGTTCTTCTGTAAGTCTTCTGTCTAGAGCCCTCTGTGCCATTACCTCTTCATGTAAACTGAAAAAAAAATAAATATTGTAGTCACATATATTTCTAAAACAAGTATCTTATGACTAAAAGCTTGTTTCACAGGAAATCCTTATATTCTTTCCATAAGAACATCATTTGACATTCTTTTTCTTTACTATTAATGAACCTTTGTTACAAATACAGTCAAACCTTTACACTACCACTTTTATCTTATTTTATGAAAATTAACTTAATATTCACCTCCTAATTTACTGTGCTATTTGATATTAACTTCTTTATTTACTTCGGTACTTAATTTTCTACTTTATTTATTTCATTACTTGACACTTACCCCTTTATTTTCTTCAGAATTTGATATTAACCTAGGCCCTTTATTTATTTCGGTTCTAAACTAATTTCAATGCAATTTTGAATTTTTACCTTTTAATTTGTTGTGGTACTTTATTGAGAAGGTTACTATATTTAGATCTGAGGTCAGCTAGAAGTTCACCTCTCTCCACACACTCTATACTAGCTTGTCGTATCAGCTCGTGGAACACTATATTATATATATTCTGCTCCTTCTTAATCAGCTCCAGTAAATTATGCATCTAGAGAAAAATCAAAAACAACAGAAATATGAATGACTGGAATATTAATGTGAGCAGCAGAATATCATGAATATCAAGAAAAGTATTGCACTGATTTTTCACCCTATAACAGGCCTCTTCCCAATTGAAATTTTCTTTAAAATCATGCAATTTTCCCAACTATCTCAACCTACACCAGCTTTTTTACTTCCAAAATTAGCAATTTTAGCAATAATTCTTCCCAAAATCAGCAACCAAAGGTCTCTTCCTAATTAAGTGAGAAAAACCACTGCATAATTACTTTCTTCTTGCAAAAAAACATGGCATTGCAAAATTACATGTAATACACAGCACCTACCAATACAACTCATAAAAAAAATTACACCAGGTATAAAAATTAATATAAAATTAAAATTTTATACTTCAAAAATAAAAAAATTCATGTATATCATCATATCTGATATTAATTGTATTTCTTTTCTACCATTTGACAAAATGTTATACTAAATTTTAAGAAAAACTTTTTTTATAATTTCTTGCCTATTCTTAAAAATGTAAATTTTAAGTTTTTCAACTTCTTTACAAACTTTTTATCTTGAATAATCATGATTTTAAACAGAACAAATCAATTTCCAAAAGCATGCTTAAATTACTATACTCCTTAAATACATTAAAAACGAACTCAAAAATTTGTGACACAATGCAATGGTGATATAAGAAAAATTACTCTAAATTTGTTTTAAAGTGAAATTTATACAATATATGTTTGATATTCCAGTGTGTACAACATAAACATCACCTGCTAATACCACAACAAGAGCACTTGTAACTGTAATCATCAAGTTATAAGTTGATATCTTAATTGTATACAAAATAATAGAAACTTTATGAATATTTTAATGATCCCTATAGATTATATTGATTTTAGTTCATCTTTTTCATGGCTTCAAAAATGCAACACATTAATCTATTATAGCTTCCTTCCTAACAATTGCCCTCACAGTATTAACTCATACCCCACTTAGTTTGTATAATAGAGTTTCCCTGCTTTGAAATTGGAACCATCCGTTGTAAATCAAATGGCTTTCAATATTAGATATATAAGTTTGAAACAGCAAAAATTATTTTAAAAATCTGGGTTGACTGTACAGTTGTTTTTTTTATACTTGTTGCCTTGGAGAGTCATAATAGGTAATCAAAGAGTCAATGACTCCCCTCCCCACTCCCCCCAGATAAATGTTTAATAAACTAATCTACTTATCTTTTATTTCATAGAGATGTCATTTTCCAAAAGGCATGTCCATAGTTAAGTGAAAATCCCAATTTGTTTAGTCATATCCAAATAACTAGTATGTTATAACATCAGATGAGCATGTACGTAGGTCACATTTGTGAAATTCATTTTAAATTAACATTAAGTCTGAGTGAAAATTTTCGATCAAAAGTATGAAGATATGAATTTCAAAATGTATCACTTAACAGAATTTTTGTGAAAATTTTTAAGCAAAACAAAAAGTTAGATCTCAATATTTGGCTACATGCCAAAAAAAAAAGAAGATTTTTTTATATAATTACATGCTAGTCAGATTCATGAGTATGCTTCACTTCATAACACCATGACTTAGACTAGTAGAAAATTTAATGTCTATTGAAAAATTTAAGATAAGTTAAAAAGAACAACAACAATTTCATACACTCAAGTAGATCTATCAGACTTAAATTTTCAACTAAATACTTAACCCTAAACATGCTGAATATTTTAAATGGACTTGTCCCACTTCCATTTTTGGGACTGTCCATTATCAATTTTAGGAATATCAATTTAAATATTTAAAGCTTGCCAGCCAACAGTATAGAACCTGGTTAGACTGCACAGAATGGCAGGCTGGCCTGGCTCTATACTGGTGGCAAAGGATTAATGCTTTCAGTTCCAGCACTTTATGGGTTGAATAATTGACAAGAGTATAACTATATTTTTCTCACCTGTGTTGGGCCTTTAATCTCAGTGTCAGCATCATTTATACCAGCCTTGTCTAACATCTCCTCCATTGTTGACTTTAACTGAACTACCTCATATCTGCTCGCTGGCTTCCTGTATTCATGTAAAAGTTTCATGAATCTATTTTCATATTTCATATTATACAGTACAGTCGAGACTGCCTTAGCGACCCCCTGATTTAAACGACTCCCTGTCTTATCAGACCTTGTTTCAGTACTCCCAACGTATTTTCCTATATAAATGGTCTGAATTAAACGACTCCCTGTCATATGTGACAAGCGACCCTAATTGTCTGATCCCAATGCAATGTTTTGTCTGATTTTAACGACTTTCACACCTTTTAATTGTCCGTTAATCAGATAAATAATACCTATTTTAACACCCAGAGGGCCAAAATAATTAAGTCCAATTATAATCCAGTAGCAAACAAAGTCTACACACCTCTGTCTCAATTACACAGTTAACATTATACAGGTATGGAGTGACGTCACCAAGTGTCTGTTCATGGAAAGTATGATGCAATCGGTGTGTGTAATGACCTGAGTAAACTGGATTAAGTTTTTTTTAATTATAGAGTGCCAACGGAAGATATTTTAGGCAGCATTTTTTTTAATTTACCTTAATATGGCTGCATAATTAATGCGGAATAAGTATTGATACCAAACCAGAAAAAGATTTGGATATGGATATGTTTAACTTTTACAAGTATGAATTTGAATGCATCAAATTCCAGTTAATTTATTCCATAAAGATTCAATTTAAATCTTAATACAAAAAAATAAAATTAAATTTTATGTGATATACATGCTAATATATATTTGTTTTACATGGATTCTTATTTTATTTACATAAAAAAATTTACGAATACCCATGTTTATTTGCAATTGGTAAGATATTATTCCTTATGTATGTTAAGTCACAATGGTATATAGACAGATAGATGGTATTTAAATTTAATTTTCTTTGAGACTGTATTTAGAGACTCCCTGTCATATGTGACCTTTTTCTGAAGATCCCTTGGAAAGTCGCATATGACAGTCTCGACTGTACATCTAACATGTACTAAATCCATTATTCTAACATTATTAAACAAATGTTTGACATTTTTAAAGAATTAAAAAACTTATGCTCTCTGAGGCATAATGTGCCTTTAAACATTCAACAGGAGGCAGACAAAACAATAATATGTGTGATAAAAATGTGTAACTTACATTGATGGGAAAACAACTAGATGTTTTTCATGATCTTCCACTTGGTTGCTATATTTACTGTAAGAGAGAATAAAAATAAGAAAAAATAAAGCACCAAATTTCATGGGTTAAATCAAATAAACAGAGGATATTGAATGAGTGTAGGTTCAATACTGACTTTATTGAACAAGTTGAATAAAATTATATTATGCGAGCCTATGGTGAACCTACACGAATATAATATTCAATTTATATCCAAAATATAGACTGTGAAAAAGAATAATTTTTCATGGAAGTGCCTACATCTTTACACTATGTTTGTATAACACAAATGATGTATGCATGGCCATGCAATACCATTTTTATGGAGTCACGAAATCAGCTCGGGTATGCAATAACACATTGGATGGAATTAACTTTTTTTCTCTCAGAAATAGTTTTGTTTAAGGTTGATTGTGTGTAAAGCTCACAGCTTATATGAAGGCAAGCACTCTCAAGTTCTCTACCTGGAACTAACCAGTACTGATGTCATATGAAAAAAACATGGTTTAAACATATTTATTTAAGCTCGATTGCGAAACAATTCTTGCAACTTATATTAATCACTTTCGAGTCCGTTTCCTGGAACCAACCAGTACTGGTGTCGTATGAAGAAACATGGTCGTGACCCGAGTAGGGCTCGAACCCATTATCTCTGGTTTGAGAGGCAGACACCTTAACCACTAGGCCACCGCTCCCTTCATATGAGTAAACATTGAAGTGATCTGACAGTATGGTTCAAATCCATAGAATAAAAAGTTAGACACTTTATCATTGGGTCACAAATTTTCCTTTCAGAAGAGGCTTATCAAATATTGCTATAAAACATACATGTACTTGAAATAAGTTATATTGGTAAATATTTTGAAAAAATATGGCACAACATGAATGAAGACTTGTCAGAGAAAAAATGTATCCTTGGTTTTTGTCTTGTACTGCCTCATAAATGTCCATTATCTTAAATGTTTTCAATGTCCTTTATCCTTTACTATTATACACATTCATTAATAAATTGAAATGTACTTGTGTAAGTAGAAAAAGTTTTCTTTAACTAGCATACTAAGTTTTTTATAAAATTAAAAAAGAAGCATAAACGCAATTCATATCTCAAGCACAAGTACTTATCAAACATTTACAAACATATCTCTCACAATTTCTTTTCATTTTTTTATAGCTAAGAGCAACCAATATTGTTTTTGGTGTCGAGCAGCATAAATTGATGATCAGGATATGTAATGATAATATAACATAATTCAGGATTTTTTAAAATTTGACCAAATTATTTTGGATTCAAATACATAAATTTAGTAGAGTGACACTTACTCCTCATGATATTCTATACCAATTACACCTTTGTTCTTCACAATATGATATTCTTCTGGTATCAAAGTATCTGGAAGTTGTAATACCTGAAAATATACAAAATTTATGACATTTAACCCTAAATTTATATAACGGACTTGTCCTGCTTTGAATCTGGAACAGTCCAAAAGTAATCTAAGGGATTTCAATACTAAATTTTCAGTTCAGAGTCTGGTCAAACTGCATAATAGTCAAGTAAAGCTTTGCTCTACATGCAGTTAGCAGAAGCTATTTACTACTATTGTTATCCCTCAAAGGATAAAACAATTGTAATAGACAAAATTCAGTGTCTATTCAAACAAAAATAAATGGTCAAATTCATCTCAAACTGGACAACAAAGATATAAAAGTTAAGGATTTGTATTTCCCCCCGTAAGCCCAAATGCTCAATGTTCATTGTTTGTACTCATGAAAGATTGCCCTATCATATTTTGTGATACTGCAAACAATAAACCTCATTACAAGCAAATTTCTCAGATCAAATATGACAAAATTAAGTGAAGGCTAAAAGGTAAAAAGTGAGCAGTTTAGTAATACCACAATCTCAAAATGAAACAAACAAATACCCTCTTTTTAACTCCCTTTCTAAGAGCTTATTCTAATAGATATATATTCTAAAATTCAAGTATGTTATTCTTGATAAAGCATAGTTTGTTTTGTAGGGTATAAAGCTATTGCTATTGAAATATTTTCGTTAAATTTATAAATGATAAAATTACTTGTTTCCATAAGAGTGTCTCGGTTATTTAGCACTTATATACATAAACTGAACAGTAAGTTCCTGAACAAAATATTATGCAGCTATTTTTAACTTTTAGCAAAGATTTCATGCATGCGCCATCAACTCTTAAGTATACAAACATATTTCTTTCATACATGTAGTTATTTTTGAATCATTCTTTTTCAAAATTCAAACACTAATTTTGTAAACTACAGCCATTATTATATAGCTTTATACACTTCAAAATATACTTAAAGTTATATTAAGGCTATATCTCATGAAATGATTGAAAAAAAAAATTTAACAACAAAATAATATTGTTTCCACAATCTTTATAATGGTCAATACACAAAAAAGTTATAGCATATAATGTTTTTGTTACTTAAGACTCATTAATAAAATAGTGTACATAAAAAGAATAAAATATTCTGGAACAAATATTATGCCACTGTTTTAACTGATGTATTTTCATTAGACTGGGCTGTCAAGGAGGCAGTAGGGTTTTAACTGTTTAGCAATAATTTGTGTATGTACCATTCGCTTTTAAGGCAATATATTACCATATCTTTTTTCATACAAGGATTTCAGAAGTATTCTTTATGAAAATTTAAACAATAAGTTTTGCAGCATATATATAGTTTTAGACACTTAAATTATAGAGAAGTTTATGAGCCAAATTAAAATGATAATAATAGAACTGCTACCTTCTGTGGGTGTTCAGTAGCCTCCTTTCTGATCACACTCTTATCTATCTTATCTGGTCTCTCCGGCTTTTTGTCAACCTTTGGTACATCATACAGAAATGAAATATCCCTGAAATATACATACAACCAATTTCTTAACCAGCCAAGGTTTATATTAAAGTGACATTATACCCATCCTGATCCAAGGCTAATAAAGAGTGAAATAAATTTCATTTTGCCATAGTTTACATTTTCCCATTTTTCCTTTTAGTTTTATAATTTACTTTGCATGATCAATAAACAACTCGCTTGACCCAAGGAAATTTCTGTTAATGACCATTTGAGTTTATCTGTAACATTGAATTTATAAATAAAAGTGGGGCAGTCTTTATATTAAAAGCAGATTTATAGTTTTGCCTACATGTAAATATTCAACTGTTCAATCACCATTACAAAAAGTAGATTTTTTGAAATATATAGTCAATTTATCTCAACTTGATAATGAAACAAGAGCTGTCACAGGAGACAGCGAAGCTCGACTAATAAAATACTGGACGCAGTAAGGAGGACAAAACTATGAAAGAAAAATCCATTATGTATAATTATGTATTAAGTTATAGAAAAAAAATAAAATTTGTTAACATTAATTCCAAGATCAAGGGGAATAATTCTAGAAATAGTCATGCTAGAGTTATGGACCTTGTCACACAACATTTGTGTAATGATAAGAAATATATATTTGAAGTTTGAAGTAGATACCTTAAAAAGTAAAGAAGTTATTATATTTTTTAAAGAAAATCCTAAGTTCAAAGACAGATAAATCTGTAAATATTGCTTCAAGAGTTATGAACATTGTCACATAAAATGTAATTGATGATAAGGAATAAGTATTTGAAGTTTGAGGTAGATACCTTTAAAAATAAAAAAGTTATAATAAAAAATAACATTTTTCTAGTAAAAAAAATCTAAGTTTATGGAGAGATAATTCTTGCAATATTGGTGCTAGAGTTATGAACCTTGTCACATAAGATGGGGATGATGATAACGTAAATACATTTGAAGTATGAGGTTGATCCCTTAAGAAATAAAGAAGAAACAGTAAGAAATAGTATTTTTTGAGAAAAATTCTAAGTTCAAGGGGAGATAAATCTGAAAATATTGGTGCTAGAGTTATAAACCTTGTCACATAAGATGGGGATGATGATAAGGTACATATATTGGAAGTATGAGGTTGATCCCTTAAGAAATAAAGAAGTAACAGTCAAAAATAGTATTTTTTAAGGAAAATTCTAAGTTCAAGGGGAGATAAATCTGAAAATATTGGTGCTAGAGTTATGAACCTTGCCACATAAGATGTGGTTGATGATAAGGAACATATATTTGAAGTTTGAAGTTGATACCTTTAGAAATGACAAAGTTATAGTGAAAAATATTTTACTGCACCAAAACTTTAATCTAAAATCTGGACGCGGACGCCGACGCCGGGGCGAGTAGGACAGCTCTCCATATACTTCGTATAGTCGAGCTAAAAATGAGCATAATGTCACTTTAATACAATCATTCACTTAAGAGTATGCTGTTAATGTGTAATAAATAGAATTAAACAAAACAAAATCAAATCATTTTCATTTAACAAACACATTTGCTCTTAGCATATAGTTATTACATTTTTACTTATTGTGCATAAAATAATGAATCTTTTAACTTGCTCTTCATTAACATAATACATGTACATGTATTTTGAAATTGTTTCAAATTAAAATGTTGTAATCATAATTTTTCACCTCAAATGTTTGTTCAAGACAATTACTTAATATATGCAACATCACATTACAGTCTTACATTATATTATAATGATGCTCAGTATTACACATGTATGTTGCTCCAAACCTGACAATTTCAATGTACATGTATAAATAATTAGCATGTACATAGATTTAATGATATTTTTAACTTACTTTCCAGCACCACATGTACACATAGTATTTTCAAACAAATGTTTAAATCTCTCTCTTCTTTGGGAATTCCACACATTGGCAGGTGGTGGTCTTGTCTTTGACTGAAACAGTGAAATAAAATGTATAATAAATTTGACACCATGATGATGTTCTCCAGTATCTAAAGTTTAATTTTCTTAAAAACATTTAATTTATACCATTTACATCAGCTAGTTAAAGGAAAGGGAGCAAAATAATCTGACGATTCTAACGTCCATTGCTTCTCAATAAACCTAATGTTTCCATAACAGAAATAATAACAAAGCATTTACAGATTGCATCAAGCCTAAAATGATACAGAACAGACATATCTCCCAATTCCGTAAATTGTTACTTGTCTTGAAACTAATTTGTAAAAACACATATATTTCAGACGGAATTGGATGTCAAAATACTGATAGTGTTCACATAGTGTACCAGCAAGAGTTTCAGACTGAGAGGTACATGAATGTCATTGGTACAACTTCATTGTGAGTCTGCAACACTGAGTTACTATTCCATGTATGTTTTTATTAATCATGATTAGTAATGTACTACTGATTATAAACTAATCTAAAGCATTTTATGGAAATAAATTGATGTTGCTGAGAATGAATGTCCCTTTAGCTGACAGTGAAATTTTAACAGATATGACAAAATGTAAAAGCCTTGAGGCCAAGCTAGGCATTACAGTTACCTGTTGATAATATGATAATCTAAATAACAGATGTGAAAATAATAATTATGTCTATCATAATCATGAGAATTTTTTTTATACTTTTCATAATCATACAGTTATTCCGTCTTATACAGATCATATACATGTATGCATTGAAGCAAGAGCAACAAAATACATTTCAACTTACTGCTTTCCACATAATTGTTTTAAAATAAGATTGACAGCAAGCTGAATATGACAAATATTTACAAAATAATAATGGACAGAAAACGCAAGAAAAAAAAACCCTGTCATACCACTGATGTGTTGAGTGCCCTATACTTGGATACAGGACCAAGAGTGTCCCTAGCTGTGGGTGGCTGGGTAAGAGCAAACAGGACATCTTCAGGTAGAAAGTCACTCTGAAGTGAAGTAGGAAGTGGCTTTGCTTTATCAATAGCTAGATCACTACTCCTCAGGTCCGGTAATTTATCTACAAAAATAAAGCATAATACTAGAGTATTAGGACTAGAAATAACTCGATATAATTTGCTTTGAAAGGCCCATTATGCTCTAGAAATATTTTTATTTTCATTTCTCAATGTTTTAAATTTTTGATGTCCAGTTTAAGTTTCAAAACAGCTACTTATTGTCCAAATACCAGAACCAAAGAACCAATTCTTGGTTCTGTTGTCTTTTGGCAGGTAGTACAAAGTCATGCAGTATTAGTGATTAAATATTTTGTATGGAAGTCAAAATACTACTTTGTTTACATTTTGATAATTATGGAAGTCAAAATACTACTTTGTTTACATTTTGATAATTTTATGACAAATTTCACATTCAATGCTAAGTACTTTCTTCATGGGATAAGCATCTCATTTGCTAAAAAAAAATATAATATTTGAAAATCTCATATTTGCCTTTTCTAAAGAAGGAAAACTTAATTCGTTTCTGAGGCATATTAAAATTAATGTGCCTCAATATGTAGTTTTATCTATAAAATCTTTAATGTAATATGGTGTTGAGAAGTGTTAATAATACACTTTTATTACAGAACTTAATCATCAATCACACACATATTAATATGAAATACTGGCTATAATATATCCTGGATTAGACCCTGGGGCCTAAACTAGTATATATATATATATATAACTTGTCAAAATTATAAAGTTCATTCCGTTTTTTATAGTTAATTACATGTTTATAGCAGAAATTCTACTTCAAAATACACATCATGGTCTAATCTAGGAGATTGCCCAAATACTATACATGACTAAGATACAATGATGAAAAATAATTAAATAAATACAAACCTTTTTCAACAATTGATCTATCCCCATTCTTTGGAGTGGGTGGTTTGGGAGGAGGCACTGGAGCCCTTGAAACTGTAGACATTTTCTAGAACAATACAAATTTTACATAATTATCGAAAATTTTCATCAAACAATCAATGCAATACTTCACTTCTTTTAAGTTATGATTCATGCTTTGATCCTTTTTAGTAATCTAGAGGTTTACAAAACGGCAGCACGAAATACCCAAATATACCCAAATATAGCAATATTTATTTTTGTTTGTATAAAATATAGATTATAATGAGAAATAAATAAATATTTATTAAATAATATAGCTTAGCCTGCCATAACTTGCATTCATTCCGTTGAAATGGGCAGTTAAGATGTTGTAAGAAAATAAAGTTGTGACATTTGCTTATCTACAATATAGGTTCTTTAATCTGATATTTGTTGTCTACACTTACTTTTTTTAAGGTGTAATTTTGTTGAAATTTCATATCATAGTACAAGTATCTGTGATATTTTTTTTAATTAATAGCTTTAATGGGGTACATAATACTGTATTTTGGTTCAAAACACAATGATAGGAAAATGTTTGATTATATCTAAGTGAAAGTGTATATTGTATTCATGATTAAAACAGCACTTTTTTAGTATAAAACACTTATTTTTAGTATAATTGGTACTTGGCTGTGTATTGTCAGGATACAGGCGATATGATACGATTCACAATACAGAGGAGCAATACGCAAATCGGTTTGCGATACACCAGTAAATGCGTGGATGATTAAATATTTAAATGTTTCATGTCCAGGGGTTTTTTTTAGGAAAAGGGGAAGACGCTGGACGCTGGTAGGGAGGGGAAAAAATATACGAAAAAAATCAATTTGGGGAAACTTTATTATGACGTTATTTATACTATATACTTAACTACATAGTAGAGAGTTACCACTATATCTTTTTCCCCTTAAAAACTTTATCATCATGCAAAATATTCTTTGCAGTATAACATATTTTCTTAATATGTATGGTGGTGAATGGTTTTATACTTCTATTTTTATATGAAAGTTAATACAGTATAGGTATAATAGTGTATTTGTGACACACTTTAGCTCCATATAAGTCATTTTCATAATAAGAAGTACAAAATATATTATTTTACTAAAAATGACCAAGAAAATGACAATATTTTGATAGCAACTGATTTCCAGAAATAGTACCGTTCAGTACGGGATATATCCAAGAAAAAAAAATGGCTGCCTCCATGTTGAGACAGTACTTGCAGTTTCCTGCAATGTTTTTGGTTATTTTGGACAACAATTGGTGGTTTATCCTGCATAAAATGAAGAAAAATAATATTTTAAACCATGTAATTATTAAATCTGATCCAGTTTAAAGGAAAATAGAATTTTTTGGGGGAAATAACTTGGCTATTTACCAAGGGGAAGACGCCGACTATCGGTGTCAATTTGTTAGTAAAAAAAACCCCTGATGTCAAACTATCATATCTTACATGAGACTTTATAATTCAGCCATTCAAATATATAGCAGAACACATTTACAAGGGACACTTTCATATTATGAACATTAAAGTAGTAATCTATAAAATATTCTTAAAGATTTATTTTGAACGTACATGTACATGTATGTTAACATGTTTTACAAAAAAGATCAGGTTAAGTTTCACAGAACATGTTTTAAAATCTCAATGACAAGAAACAAGAGCCGTTTCAAAATCATAACTGGCTAGAAAGTATCTAAGACTTACTGTTATTTATAAAGTAAAATACTGAGGGACGTGAATATTCGCGTACAAAATTCATGACACATTCGCGATGTACCGAGAGTTTGGACGTTCGTTACAGCCCTAATAACTGGGCAATATTTAGGTATATTTAGGCAATATTTGGACAAAATTTGGGTATATTTGGTTATTTCATTATGCCCTTTAAAAAATCTATCCACATGGTATCTTTCATTTATGTGGAACCAAACACTGCCTGGGACATAGAAATGTTGAATAGATCTAGTACAGTTAAAGAATTCAGTTGAACTGCTATCATTTGATTTATAAGCTTGAAACTGGCACTGAAATACTTTGAAAGTAAGAAGGTTTAAATACATACTTAAACCTTAAAATGTATACTCAACATCACTAATTCCACATCATCACTTATTTCACGGTAATGGCATATTTTCATGTGACCAGCATTAAAATTGGTCAGAATTGACGTATTTTATTCAAACACCTAAACAACAAAGTTTTTGTGCAAAATATTTTAAATCTATAGATTTTTACATGAACCAGAACAACATTTTACAAACTTCTGCAAAAAAGCAACACTAGTCCATGAAATTTATTCATACTTCTGAAACAATCATCATTTTCTAAATGTTCTTCTTTGTTGTAAAAATAAATTTGGGGTCACAATGTAAAGATAGTTTTAATATTTAAAATTAAGCAAAATAACATGCATAAATTTTAACTGAAACATGGAAAAACTGAAATAAAACACCATTGCCGCGATTTAAATGATGACATACTGTTTTCAAAATGGCCGAAATATGGTCTACGTTTGGCTCATTTAAACTGATTTTGACTAAATATATTGTCCTTTCCTTGTGTGATACAGCAGAAAATACCTATATGCTACAGCTTATGAAATTTGTTGTAGATCTACCATAAGTTTCATTTGTTGTTTTCTTTCTTAATTCAAAGCGTTAAGTACCGTGAACTAAGATAAACAGGTGCCCGTTTAGCTTCCAAACGGAAATTTCATAAAATGGAACAGTTTCGTTGTTTATAAATGTTTGACAATATTGAAAGCAGCGTATTTGATTATTTTTGGATAGTCGGGAACTGAATAGATTATTATTGGTTATACCCGTTTCGAATAAATCGCAAAAATTTATCATATGAATTGAAAAAATTCTATCCGTCGGCCATATTGGTTACTCCGTCGCCAAGGAAATGAAACGAACATATCAGAACATATCCGAAATGACCTTGATTTTTGCCGTACGGTACCGTACAGCCATTTTTCAGGTATTGATTTAATCTGGTTCCCTGTCCTATTTCTTTTTAGAAGTGCGCAGGGGACCAGTCTATTCACGAACTCCCACTGTTTGGGTATATATGCGGTAACTCGGTCAAATACGGTTAACAGACTCAGTGTCTCGGTTTAATTAATTATGATTTAAATTGATTTAATTAAATATAATTCTATGCCCGCGGCGTGTGCATGCTTTTAGCTACCATAAACACGTGTGTCACTCATCGCGTTATATTTTGCCAAATATAGTATATGTTAAAATATAATATGTAACATATGTATCGTCATTTTCTTTTCCGTTGTAAGTTTTGAAGCGGGAACATTTGAAATTCATCTTTCAATATCTACGTTGAATGTCAACAGGGTTTTCAAGCGATCTCTACTGTATAGTAATAATCATGCAAAACAGATTTACTTATCTAAATTACACATATTAACACATGCCTAAGTTAAACATTCGAGAACGGCTTAAAATGTGTAACAAGACGTTTTCATCAGCTTTTTAAACTATGGAACGCCATTACCACTTTTTAATTGCGACGAATTAAGTAAAATGAATTCTGAATACTTTCATGTTTTATTGTTAAATGAGTCTCCTAGCCTACTAGGTTTTTCTTTCTTATTTTTTAATAATTTATTTTAATTGTTTTGCATATATGTAATGTTATTATTATTTCAGGGGTTCCGCTTTTACTTCATTTTGATTTTGAAAATATGTTGTCATAAAGCCAAAATCCAATTAATAATATGAACACTTGCTTACCTGTGCTGATATTTGCAATATTCTTACATATTATGACACAACTATTTGTTTCCACATTATCTTACTAGTTTTAATGAATATTGTACATGGAGGAAATAGATGGTCTTCTGCTTTTAGCATAATAAAAGTAAAGTAAAGTTTATTTTTGTAACACAGGCCTCCGACCCAAAATACAACATATACAACAAACATGAAATAGCAATGGTAAAATACAATGAGATGATCATAGATATACATAGTATATTGTAATATAAACATAGGTAGACATCATATCAAATTTTTTAAAGATATATAAAGATATTAAGAGAATTTCGTAGATCACTTATAGATTACACTATATAATTACCTTTATATTGTTTTATGTATGTATTTTTTAAGTACTGAATTGGCGTCTATATTTAAGTGCATGATCGAGAAAACGATCTATATATTTCTATATATTGAAATTATTTTCAGTTTTTAATATATATAGAAGAAATTTATGCATGAAAAGGTGACATGAAGAATTTATTAATAAACAACTGTGATTTCTAGTTATGGTCCATGATTGGCGATGGGTAAACATGCAGCGTTGATCCATAAGTTAAAAGAAATCTTAAATTAATAGATCTACATACAATAGCGCGTGCGCAAATTTGAAAAGTGCATTATTAGATTAAATTACAGCGATATAGATGTATGAGTATTTTATCAATGTAAAAATGAAATTAAATTTTTAAGACATGTTTTGCTATTTAAAAGATTTATAAACAGAAAAAACTCAATTTCAGAAGTTTTTGCCTTTACAGAAACAATATGATTCTTAACTAAAGCTAACCTATGAATAACAAAAACATTTTACACCCTGAACAATATCTAAGCGCTTTTATTTCGTTTTCAATTGCTATCATTATTTCATTATGTAATATATTTTACGAAAGACTAGCTGGTGGGGACATTACAACTTCATGAATTAATGAATTAACGATTTCAACTTCATGAATTAACAATTTTAACTTCACGAATTCACGATTTCATTTTCACAAATTCACAATTTTAATTTGTGAAGTTGAAATTGTTAATTTATGAAGTTTAAACATATATGTTTAATTTGTGAATTCATGAAGTTGAATTCTGAACTTGAAATCGTGAATTCGTGAAGTTGAAATCGTGAATTCATAAAGCTGAAATCGTGAACTCGTGAATTCCGTATGATGAATACGTTAATTCACAGAGTCAAAATTGTGAATTCATGAAGATAAAATCGGAAATTCATGAAGTTGAAATGCCCCCACCGGTCTTTCGTTATATATTTTGTGTTCATACATATGACTTTATTTGTATTTCTTTTTGTTCAATTTGCGTATGTAGTGCATGTGTCAGTGGGGTTGCCAGATACAATGCAGACACAAACGTTAGGAAAGTCCAAAAAGTCGCGACTGTATATCCACGAGATTTTCTATCCGACGACCACGTGAAAATCATGAAAATCGTGCTATAATCGTGTTAAATCAGATTTATACATATGAGCTTGGTATAAGGTGCCGTTGTCAATAAATTTGCAAGTAATTTTATGCAAAAAATATTTGTATAATATGACGAAAGCGGGACAATGACATCTGTGATGCACGATGTAAAAGAACACTGAATATTTGTAATAACCTAATTATGAACAATACGAAATCAAACGCAAAAAATAACGAAAAAGAAGTTATATATAAAAAAATATAGTATATAAGTTCGTCACCATCAGTCCGATTCCGTCGCGAATGCGATTTTCTACTAGTGTGGAGGGCCCCCTTGACAGCAATGCAAGTCTCAAAGTTCTAGCCCTACTGGAACGACCATGAGAGCTCGGCGCGCGCGGCCCGTTTTCGTTGTTACATACTTATTAATATGGAATTGTACGTTAAAACACATCGCCCCGACCGCCAATGATTCGACACCATCCGTCCGATTCCGTTGCGAATGCGATTTTCTACTAGTGTGGAGGGTCCCCTTGACAGCAATGCAAGTCTCAAAGTTCTAGCCCCACTGGAACGACCGTGAGAGCGCGGCGCGCGCGGCCCGTTTTCGTTGTTACATACTTATTAATACTAGTATGGAAATGCACATCGCCCCCACCGCCAATGCTTCCCCTGGCGACCGCTGACTTCCCACAACAGCCATAACCTCTCCATAGCGACCGATGGCTTACCATAGCAACCAGTTAACCACCTTAACAACCAATGACTTCCATAGCAACAATTGACTTTGCCTAGCAAACAATGACTTCCATAGCAATCAGTGACTCTTCATAGCGACCATGGACTACCGTTGCAACCACCGACTCCCCACAGCAACCACAGTCTCTCGCATAACAAGCAGTGACTTCCTATGGCCACCCTAGACTTCTTAAGCACCCAGTGACTGTCCATGACTATCAGTGACTTCCCACAGCAACCACTGACTTACCCTAGCGACCGCTGACTTCCCGCAACAGCCATAACCTCTCCATAGCGACCAATGGCTTTCCATAGCAACCAGTTAACCACCTTAGCAACCAATGACTTCGATAGCGACCATGGAATTTCCCTAGCAACCAATGACTTCCATAGCAATAACCTCTCCATTGCGACCGCTGCAACCATTGGATTTCCATACCAAACAATGACTTCCATAGCAACAATTGACTTTGCCTAGCAAACAATGACTTCCATAGCAACCAGTGACTCTTCATAGCGACCACGGACTACCGTTGCAACCACTGACTCTCCTCAGCAACCACAATCTCGCATAGCAAGCAGTGACTTCCCATGGCCACCAAAGACTTCTTACGCACCCAGTGACTGATCGTTACTTTCAGTGATTTGCCATAATAACAACTGACTTCCCCTGGCGACCGCTGACTTTCCGGAACAGCCATAACATCTTCATAGCGACCGCTGGCTTTCCGTAGCAACCATTAAATTTCCATAACAACCAATGACTTACATTGCAACCAGTGACTCTTCATAGCGAACACGGACTGCCGTTGCAACAACTGATTTCCTCAACAAACAGTGTCTCGCATACCAAGCAATGAATTTCCATAGCGACCATAGACTTCTTAAGCATCTAGTGACTTTCCTTTTCCACAGCAACCACTGACTTTCCCTAGTGACCGCTGACTTTCCAGAACAGCCAGTACCTCTTCATAGCGACCCCTGACTTTCCATAGCGGGGCTCTCAGGGCCGCAACTTGAGCTTGGGCTTCGAGCTTTATATTTGTGTCAAGGGGACCCTTCATACTTGTAGAAAATCGAATTTGCAACGGAATCAGATGGATGGTATCGAACCAGTGGCTGAAGAGGCGATGTGTTTTACTTACATTTACTAATTAATAAGGATGTAACATTGAAAACGGGCCTCGCGCGTGCATCTCTCACGGTTGTTAAACTTGGACAAGGGCTTTGAGTTTTACATTCAAGGGGACCCTTCAAACTTGTAGGAAATCGAATTCAAAACGGAATCAGACAGATGGTGTAGAAGCAGTGGCTGTGTGGTCGATGCGTTTTTACGTACATTTACATGTTTATAGTGATGAAACCACAAAATGAGCCTCGCGCGCAGGGCTAACACGATCGTTTCACTTGGGCTAGCGCTTTGAGCTTCAAATTTTTGTCAAGGGGAACCCTCACACTTGAAGAAAATCGAATTCACAACGGAATCAGACGGATGGTGTTGAAGCAGTGGTTGTAAGGGCCATGTGATTTTACGTTAACTCAATGTGCACAACAGGTACAAAACAACGGAAACGGGCCTCGCGCGCGCAGTGCTCTCACGGTCGTTCCACTTGAGCTACGGCTTCGAGTTTTTCTTTTCCGTCAAGGGGAACCTTCACACTTGTAGAAAAGCGACGGTATCAGACGAATGGTGTAGGGGCGGTGTACTTTCGTACATTTACATATCAATAAGGATGTAACAACGAAAGCGGGCTTCGAGCGCGGAGCTCTAACGGTCGTTACACTAAGGCTTGGGCTTCACAATTGTAGGTAATAGAATTCGTAACGGAATCCGACGGATGGTGTCGAAACAGTAGATGTCGAAGCGACGTGTTTTCCGTACATTTAGTTATGAATAAGGATGAAACAACGATAACGAGCCTCGCGCGCGGAGCTCTCACGGTCATTCCACTTTGGCTAAGGATTTTAGCCTCACATT